TGTGAAAACACAAGAGGCATTTCAGCAACTCATCACACAACTAATTTACCACCCATTCACGACCCCGCCGCAACGTAATCTGTAGGCTGTGGTAGGTTGCGCATGAGATCACGGCTAGTGTGACATCACCACACTCAAGTACAAACAGATAACAGTCACAGCTGACTGTCCACAGTGCGTGGACCTGCAAGAAGACCACACTTTTCTCGGGCCATTATCTCCGTAACCGTTCAACTTTGGACATAAGTGTTTTGGGTTATATCGGCATACTTTAACATAAGGAACACCCTCCCGAAGTTTGGTCCATTCCTCCTGGGACACCCTGTATATATATACATCATCTAATAAGTATAAACTTTTGAATTCTTCAACGTCTAGTTGTATTCTAAAGAACATGTCAGAAACTAGTCTTATGACTGAATTGAAAGAATTGAGATAAAATTCTGTATGACTTAACCTCACAAGAATTTTACACTCTCCACCTGATATATTGAGTTCAGCTGTTTCATCTAAGGAAAGGGAAAAATGAAAATTTTATTATGTTGTTAGATGTAATAATTCTTTTTGCTTGCTGTATGAGATTTTCTCATTCCTCTCCAGTGACATTAGCATCTTTCTCCACTTGCATATATGACATTAAATCTGTACTCCATGGTAACTGTGGTCTTCAGAACTTATTCCACAAATAACAGTCCCAACACTGATGGGTGGCTGTTTGCAAGTAGACAATACACTGAATTTCAGTAAGGACAGACTTCAGTTTAGACAGCTCTGTGGGAATAATTTCTTTGGGAACATTTAACACTACAATAATTTTTCAATATCCAACAAGTACTGCAAAGTTCTCTGTGTTACTTCTACATGCATGCAGAATATCAAGAACATAAATGTGAAAAGTATACAAGGTAAATCATATATAAGAAACTGGTTTAAATCAAAGGGCAATGATTACCTGAGTTCCATTAGGCAGCACTTGAGGCAGGTCTTCATTAACCTCAGCACTGGCAGGACACTGATGGTAACTGCATGCACACCAATTGGAAAATTATCAAAGCAGCAGCTAATCACAATAATCACAGCATTCATTTCATCCAGATTCCCATCTAAAGTCATTAATTTGTTTAGGTGTGCAGACAGACACACAGCAACATCAATGTGCCCTTCATCAGGAAGTGTCATAAAGATCCTAGTACAAATAAAAGATTCAGTGTTCAGTGATATTATAAATATGAGTTAAAAAGGTTACAATACACAGCAATATCTAGTAAAATTACTGTCACATGTTAAGTGACTAGACATGGGGTTTGGATTGTTAATCAGATTTATTGGAATCTTATGAACCGTAACTACAGTTAATTATAGTGCCATGGAGAATTCAAGCAAGGCCCATAGGGTTGCAAGATGTCAAGTTTCCCACATTTTTTAGCCAGTTGTCTTACAAATGGTGGTGGGGTTGTCAGCCTTACGTGCAGGCCACCCTTTACTCCCCAGAAAGATTCCTGGTATTTATTTCTCCTAGAGGCTGAGCTGACCCCTAGGCCATAATGCAACTGGAAGGATTAGGTCAATTGAAAAATCCAATGGCCTCATTCGGGACCGAACCTGCCACCTTCTGGCTTGTAGCATGGTGCCTCAATCAACTATGCTACCATGTGCCCCTGTGGAGGAGGAGGAGGAGAAAAGCGAGAGAGCACTTGAAGTACATATTATAACACTGATTAATTCTGGATCCTTACTGCTCTTGTGCAGAATTTCATTTTGTACTAACATGAGTTCTAAACAAATTTGTATTAAATTCATATGAGTAGAAATGTAATTATAATCATAAACCAAACAAACAATAAAATCTCAGTTAGTCTAGCCATCTCTAGGTCAAGATATAAAACCAGTATTGACCCTCTTCCCCAAAGAGCACACCAGGCACTACTGTAACATGTGAGCCACAGCAAGAGAAAGATAAATAAATTATTCATCACAAAGAATATGCCACTGCAATAATACTGAGAACTCCACAGATGATGAAACAATATTTTAGATAAGTCACTTGTCAGACTGTGTCCATGTAAAGTACTGATCAAACCATATCTGAATTTTATGTGGTGTATGCATATTCTCCACTGACCACTTGCAAGCCCTGAAATCTGTCTTCTAATAGGCCTGATGCAAGCAGAACATGTATAAAAAACCATCTAAAATCAGCATGCATGGGCCAAACTTTAAATTAGAAACATAATACTAAGCAGGTGGCTACTATTTGTTGATCAACTTCAAACATTACTACAAATCATATAAAATTTATTTTACCTATCTCTTACAGCTTCAAAACTACACATTCATTCAAAGATGAGTGAGAATTTTCTACTGGCTGTTTGGCATACATGTTAAAACTCACGCTGAAATGTCAGACAGTGAATGTCTTAACAAAAACAAAAACAATAACTGACAAACCTTGAAATGGCACATTTCAATGGGTTTTTGGGAACTGCTGTCACATACAAGTCAACCAGAAGCTGAATGCAAAAGGCTGACACCTTTGTTTTCTCATATGAACTTCCATTTCCCAAATGCTTCTTAGCAATCTGAAAAAACAAAACAAGGCACTAAAACACAGATAAAGAATTATATAATTCATGACAGATTAGAAGGCATTTCTCATGGTGCTCATGTTACCTAAATAATCCCTATATAATGATACTTGGTAAAAAGTAAAGCTATCCCTGTACCGGGCCGTAAAAGCCCATAGGGTTGTGAGACGTTGAGGGTCCCACACTATCTAGACAATCGGCTCAAAGATGGTGGTAAGGTTGTCAGCCTTACACACTGGCCGCACTTTACTCCCCAGGAAAATTATGTAATTCCTGGTACTCATTTCTGTTAGAGGCTGAGTAAACCCCAGGGCCTAGTGTGGCTGGAAGGATTAGGTCAACTGAAAAAGTCCTCTTCAATTGCGAGGATTGCTGCTTACACTCAGGGTCGTAGCCATAAACCCAACTTTCGTCACCAGTGACAACCTTCGAAAGAAAGTTTGGATCCTCTTGAACCTGCTGTTGAAGTTCCCTGGAGACTTCCAAGCGATGCTACTTCTGTTCATTTTGCAGCAGTCATGGCACAAACTTCGTTGCAATCCTCATGTTCAGTTCCTCTGACAAAATTCGTTGACATGTACCATAACTTAGTCCCAAGGCATTACAGAGGTCTTGGATGGTCAGTCTATGATCTTGCAGATTCAAATCCCTAACTTTCGTGACATTTTCTGGTGTGGTGCCAGTCGAAAGCCGTCCCGAATAATCATCATCATCAGTCGATGTTCGGCCATTTTTTGAACGCCTATTGGTCAGAGTTCCTAGCTGCAGATCCAGAGGTCCAGGTTCGATTCCCGGCTCTACCAGATATTTTTCTGAGAAGTAGTGGGTCTGAAATGGGGTCCGCTCAGCCTCATGATTATAATTGAGGAGCTATTTCAAGGAAATAGCGGCTCTGATCTAGAAAACCGAAATTAACAGCCATGGGGATTTGTTGCGCTGACCACATGACACCCTCTATCCACAAAAGTTGGCACTAACTTCGCTGACAAGCGGCGGTCGCTTGGTCGGTATAGTTCACTTGCGGACTAAAATCACGGAGTTTGTTTCGTTTGTTATACCAGTCATAAGTTTGTGTCTGGGCTAAACTGTTGTCACCAAAAGCTTGCTTCAGCAGTTAGTGCGTTGCTGCAACGTTTTTTCCAAGTTTAAAAAAAAACTTTATAGATACGCTGCTCTCTCAGGTCAGCCATCGCAAAAACTGCAAACTCACAGAAACACAACAATGGAAATACGTTCACCAACAATAAACCCAACCACTCAACCACACTGATTCAAGAAGGGTGTGTGGGGAGACACCTAGCAGTATTTCGATGTACTCATAACCATTCGCGGGCAAAATTCAAATTTCAGGAAATTTTGGATTGCACCACGTATGTTGGGGCTTCATTTGTTTGAACATTTATTTCCATTAGTGGAATAAACTTTCCTCTCTACCAGATAAGTACTTGTGTTGCTTTACCACTCCTCTGAGCAGCTATGGTTAAGGGTCAGTGTTTTTAAAGTTCAAAACTTCAAATCAAAAAGAGCTAGCACAAAAGTAATATAACTGATTTGCATTATGGAGGTACACAGTTCAATTACAACCCAAACAATAACTATGAAGACGTTTTGCATAATTTTCATCAGCCTTTCCACATAGAGCACTATAGCTTAAAAGGGGCCAGATATGTCATTTTGCGTGAAAATATAGCAGACTAAAAACACCTGGAATGTGATGTAGTTATTTGTAGATTATGAAGAATAGTAGTAAAAGTGTTGTATTTGTCTGTATTTAAGAGCAATAAGTGTCCAGTAAACTGAATTATCAATCTGAAACATGTCTAGTCACTAACCCATGACAATATAGCAATTATAGGAATGCATCAGAGATTCCATCCACATGCTGACTTGACCTTGCATTCCTGAAGTTAGGGACTGTATGAATGATATAAGCACCTTTTATTGGACATTTTAGTTATGTGATATTTTAGCATCCCTCATTTCACCATATGTTATTAGGCAAAACAACATCTCTCTATTCTTAACTGGTTACCTGTTAGCACTGAAAAGAGTTAAACATAAGCAATTAATTAATTTTGTCTTTAACGCCTCTGAACCTTACTCGACCAAATAATTCCTGCTGTCTCCAACAAGTGCTGAGGTTAAGAATGCACGAACGCTGCCACATACCATAAAAGTCTGATATTTACAAGGATAACTTCATAAAAAAAGTCTGTTCTTTTTTGATATAATCACTACATTTTAGGATTATAGTACTCAAGAATTTACTCACATCTTTAAGAATATGCAGCTGTTGTTCAATTGTGGCAGCACGCAACAGATTCTCAATTTCTGCACCTACAGATGTGCCTTCAGTCTCATCTATTTTTCCTGTAATACAAAGTGTTCTAAAACTTTCAATTTATAGCATTAGCAAAAAAATCTTGAAAGTGCGTTTGTTCACGTGTATGAAAGTTTTTTGGGCTTTTTCAATGTGTAACTTAATCTGTTTTCACTCATGCTGGAATTTTATTGCATGGTAGTAAAGTAAAAAAGTAAAGTACAGGTATCCCTGTAACATGCCCTGGAGGCCCATGTGGTTGTGAGATGTTGAGCTTCCCACATTTTCTAGACGATCGGCTCACAGATGGCAGCAAGATTGTCAGCCCTACATGCCGGCTGCCCTTTACCCCCAAAAATATTCCAAGAATATTCATGGTACTCATTTTTGTTAGAGGCTCAGTTGACCCCAGGGCCATAGTGCGGCTGGAAAGTTTAGGTCAATTGAAAAAATCCAATGACCTCATCGGGATTCGATCCCACAACCTCTTGGCTTGTAGCATAGTGCCTCAACCAACTACGCTACCTTGTGCCCCATTGCATGGTAGTAAAGAGTAAAATAGCTGTATGTATTCAAATAATTGCACTTTTTACCATTAAAGAAATGTTTAACTTCCAGAATGAAGGTAAATCATTTCAAGAAAAGCTGAAGTGTTGTATCCCGTATTAACTCATACAATTACCTGCATTATGTAATTGCCCAACCAGATGTAAGAGTAGTAATAAAAATCATTTTTCTGACCAAACAACTTCACCTTTCTTACTCTGTCAAGATTATCACCAACATTTCAGTGTCTCCCCTGCTTCCAATCCTCCTCACAGTGGACTGACAGATGGATTCTGTCCTAAAAATTTGTAAGGAAGCAGGTGACTTGAAGCTAAAATACAAAATATTTTGGAACATTAAGAAAAAGAAAATGAAGTTCCTGAAATTAGGAAAATATATATATTATGGTAATATTAATATTCAACTCAAAAAACTGTTATCAACCCAACTATGCTACACGCTGGAAGATCGCAGCTATGATTCCTGATGAGGTCACTGGATTTGTCAATTGACTTAATCTTTCCAGCCGCACTATGGCCCTGGGATCGACTCATCCTCTAAGCGAAATCAGAAATTCAAAATAACATAAAATGAAAAAAAAAAAATGTAACACAAAATTTTAATTAATTATTTTTATGTTATTTTGAAGTTCGCTTCAACGCGCAGTTTAGTGCACATCAGAGCAGTGTAACAGTTGGACGCAATAAGACAGCTGAAGATGGCCATTTATGGCCGCAACATGTTGTGTTAAATGGTGAATAAACAACTGTTGCATTGTTGACGGACTGTGGATGCATGGACGTTTAACTCACTATTATACCGAGCTATCCTGGCTAGTATCAGAAAATACATTGACATACGGTGAACATTACTTACTTGCCCCATTAATATGGTTGCCTGCCACAGTAACAGCGCACATTTCTTTGCATTCACTGCGAACAATTCCATTACAACCACCTTGTACACTTGCCACACGAAGAGTCATTGTTGCCATTTTAAATAAAATTATATCATTACTTTAAACTGAAAAAACTTGTAAAAGAGTGACATATTCAGCATGTAATAAATGTTATCCACATGGCCACTAGTCACAGCAACCAATAATTTCCCACAAGAAACACTGTACGTAGTACGTGTCTTCAGCTATATAATATAAAAAATACTTTTTTAATGCACAGTATTGTAGAGCACACATGTTCAAATATAATGGTTAATTATAGGTACGGATCACGGAAATGCGGCAATACTTGCATCTTGCATACAGAATATGGGGCTCAGTGTTACACTTTCAATATACTGAAATCTCTTAAGTTTCTTCGACACTAAACAATTTTATCAAATAATCCCCGGAACCACAAGCCTGTTACTTTCATTCCGGTCAAAATAAAAGCCACTCCATATCAGTCACTGTAATCACAATATAATTTCATTTAACATTATTTAGAAAAATAAAGTTATGGAAATACATACAATTCATGCATTAAAAAATTCAAATATTGTTTTCTTATGAATTACTATGTCGTCGTGTTATCTCTGAGAATATCGCAACTTGAATACTGGTGTAAGCGTTAATTTTAAATGAAAGCGCTACTTCGTCCATCATTCCACAGTTCTACAGCCATACTAATTCCATATTTGCAAATAACAGAAGGAACAGACCGGAACGGACTAAAACCGAGTGTGACGACAAGTAGTATACATGGAGGCCATAGAGCGACATGGAGATTGAGTATGGGTAGCGGGTAGGTCTCAATTAGTTCGGATCGATGCCGATTGCCGTAGATTGTCGCTCTCCTTCTCGTGACACGTTTTCTGCTTGAACTAATCACTTCAATCATGTATCTGGGTTCTAGGTGTTCTAGGTCTTCTAGGTAGAGTATGCAGGAGGCAGGAGTTATCCTACTGCCCAAAACATTCACAGAATGTTATAGAACCTGTTCATTACCTCGTTGACGAGATCCAACCACTGATTCATGACTTTAGTTCTCAACGACTGCTTCTGATGATTGATTGATTGATTGATTGATTTCGTCACTGTAGATCATTGTACATGATATATGACAAGTCAAGTTAATTCTGAATATTAACAATTTGATATATAAGTAGATTAAAATTACAATAGTTACAATTTTTTACTGCTGATTACAATTTAGAATTAGTTAGATATTCTTATTTATGGAGAATTTGATGGAATGAACATGTTGATCCCAGACTAGGGGAATGCCGCAAGTGAGAGTTAGGGCAATTTTTACACAGAAATTTCAAAAACAGAAGTTCGATGCAAATGCACTTCTGTTTCTAAAATTAAAATTGACCGTGTGCGTTACTATTGTTGAGAACAATACTTCTGAATTTTTTGTCGTCTAACTGGTAAACTTTGAGCATTCTTTAGAAATGGTTTAAATGACAGTAATAGCAGAAGGAAAATGACATAGAAGTGCAATATCACACTTTAAAACAATTTGTTCGCAGGTTAGCACGACCGAGAAAGTAAGCTTGCAATTCGAACAGTAGTCTCCCAGTCACGGAAGTCATGGACGGTCATGGATTAGTCATGCCCGGTCATGCCGGGGGGAAGGTACTGACCGGTACTGACCGGTACTGACCATTTCTGACGATAAAAGAGAGCACAACATTCGAAAAATGGCGGCCTCACATACGGGGGTGACTCAGTCGGGTATCAGTATATAATATCCAAACTTGAAATCGTGTGTGGTTTATATGTGTCACTGAGGCATACTGACAAAAATTTATTGATGTATATTTCAGTGGATGCAATGGATACCTTGGACGATAGCTTATTGAGCCTGGAGAAGCTGGATAGGACATCCCCCGAAATGTGGCCTGAACAGAGTATGGTTTGTGACAAGTAAAATGCATGACGGCGAAAAGGAAGTATATCTTTTGATATATTTAAATATATGCTTATGTCAGTTCCAGGTGTTTCGGAATTTGTGTCGTTGCATTCATCAGCTGCTTATGCTTTACAGCAACCCTGGACCAGAGGCTTAGATCCAGATGACATTAACCTCTTACATCGTAAGTCATTCTGTAGTACATCACTGAACGTCGCGTTAATAGAGATAAGCACACGTGCGTCGTATACCAGAGACTGGTAATGCTGACAGGATTTTTAATAATAAGGGAATGCGCACAATGTGTTTTGCCTGTAGGCTAATGCTAGAATAACCTCAAAGTATGCCAGTCACTTTTTTATTCCTTTCCAGTTGACATGCACTCACTTTGAAGTTCTGATTATATATGCACTAATCTAAAATGCTGTTAAGAAAGTGGTAGACATTTAGCAATTTTATGTTTCAGTAGATGAGTTTTGTCATCTATTTCCCCATATCTTTCTACTTTTTTTTTTTTTGGTAGATTTAGCTGTGCCATCTGTTTTCCCTGCATATCATACTAAATTGAGCAGATTTAGCTCCATAATAAATGTGGAAACTGTTCAGTGAGTAGAGCCCAATTTGTGATTGATGTCTTGTAAAAATCTTTAGTAATAGCAGGCAAATACCTCATCTGGCTTTGAAGATGGATGGTGAGCATAGATTGGAGACTTTAGAGAAGAGATTGCTGTGAATACTTGGACAGCATGATTTATTTTTGACTACCACTAATAGTGCATAATGGCCTGTTCAGGTTACTCTTATAAATGTTTAGTTTTCTTTAGCTGAATAATCTATAATTGTAGCCTGTGTTTTGATGTCTGTGCCCCATGATTGCAGCAACACTGCCGTGCCAGACTGTGGCTGACACATTGTTTCCTACTTTGTCCTTTTGCACTTCTAGTTTTTCTTCATTGATTTGCTTTACTGCATTGTTGCTCATGCTGAAGCCCTTACCCACTAACAACCAGCTGGTAAAATCTGCTTGTCAGCATATCACTCATAAAAATAACTTCTGGTATCCCTTGATTTACAAAGGTAATTTTATTCTGTGAAAACTGCTTGTAAGGTGATAATTCTTAAGTTGGAAATTATATTCCCATTACTTTATATGCAGAAGTCACGTGAACTCACACAAGTTCCAGGAAGATCCTCCAGTATTTTTTAACACACATTTTAATAGTAAACAAACTTAAAATAAGGACAATATTACTTGTTTAAGGTATTGTAAATGAAACTTATTTTATTAATGTTTATTTTCGGATAGCTGATGCAATGCAATGATGCAGCTTGTATCCAAACTTACTTACTTCAGCTTCTGGCTGCGCTATAGCTCAAGCGGTTAGTCGCTGGCTTCCCACCGCGGCGGCCTGGGTTCAATCCCGGGTATGGTCAAGTGGGATTTGTGGTGGACGCTTGAATCTTTCACCTATGAATCCACACTGTTCACTTAGGAAGGTTCCCACATATGAACTAAAGCAAAAACATACTCTTTTGACTTCATATTGGGTTTCTGTAAAAGTCTTCCTCTTGGGACTGTCAGATCCTGTTCCCCATACATGCTGGATAATGGAAAATCTATTGTACAAGGTTTTGTATACATACACAATTTTGGTTGGATAACTTCAAGAGACCACTGTACCTTTAGCTCTCTAAATCTTACATGGAGTGTATTGTTTTAACTAATATTGACATTCTCAGTAAATGCTTTTTGAGGAAATTATCTAATTAGAAAGCTCTTATAAGCCTAGAATGATACTTTGGATTGTGCAGCTGAACAAGAGATCTTTATTTGAGGCTTCTACATAATTCATTAATTCATCAGACTGACAGCTGTCTCACATAAATGTGTAAAACTTACTGGCATTTGTGCATATTTATGCACAGTATTTTGACAAAATGAGTGTTTTTAGACATAATGTTCGTAGTTTAATAATTCCATATTTCCATTTTTGTTGCAACTCAAGATTAAGCTTATGTTATTCCAGAATTTGGTAGCCTTACGGCATCTGGTCTTATAGCTGAAGTGAAGAAGCTACACGATGTTGCTTATCAGCTGGGGTTGGAAGAGGCTAAAGAAATGACACGAGGAAAATATCTCAACATATTGACCAGAAGGCGTCGATAATTAGATTGAATGCTACATTTTGAATTACTTTGAACTAAAAATTAATTCTTCATAAACAAATGAGGGAGAGTCAATAAATAGGCCAAAAATTGTTATAAAATGTAAAAATGTGATATTTGAACCTGGAAAAAACGTTTATTTTTTGACATATCCTCCACCAACACTGATACACTTGTTACATCACTTTACCAGTGCATCGAAACATGCAGCATAAGAGTCTTATAACTATTGTTTCAGCTACTTCCACATCTCTGTTTCAACCTTGTTATCAGTGAAATGTTTTCCCTCCCATTTTTAACCCCTTTATGCCACAAGCACTTCCTGCTGTAAATAAGAAACATTTCTTTATGAATACCCTTTGTATTGAGTCCTTTTGCCCACATGAAATGCACAACAGAACCCTGCTCTTTGGTAGTATACTCATCAAGCACGGCCACCCTTTTGACTACTAAAACCAGCCTCTGCACATGCACATGTGCGTCAGCTACCTAGACTGTCATGTGATACACATAGGAAGCCTATTATGTCCATTACAGCTGTTTTACTTCCATGTGTGTCCTGTTTATCAGCTCTCCCTCGTTAAATGCCCAAGGCATTAATTCTGTAACTAACAATACTGTATCACATTTGATGCTTTTAAAATGTAATCTTATTGTTATCAATAAAAAAGATGTTATATTATTGTTTAATGTTAGCATTATGTGCTGAAACTGGGTAGATGATACTGTTTTTGCAGTAACATTGAAGAATGAAGTTCATGAACACAGCAGAACACACTACCTGTATGTCTCTGTGTGTTGTATGGAGTCAGCCTGTATGCCTCACATCCTCTGTTATGCCTGGTAGTTAAGAAGTTTGTGAATATTTGCTCATATGAGCTTACCAGTCATGACAGGTTTTACAGCACACTGATTTTGAAGGCATTCTCTTCTACTGTTATATTTCTGCCAGTGGTTGTATCACATCAGGGAGCACTCCAATGGGCCTTTCCCTGCAACCTTCTTAAACTTCACTTACAAGTTCTTTTGTCTTTTGTGCTTACTTGAACCTTTCATGGCTTTCATTTACGGAAACAAATAGTAACTGGCAGGGACTAGACTGGTGAATATGGAGGACCTTCAGAGACAGTATCGCTTGGCAACACTGTGTGCAGTCAGGTCACGTTCATCTGCATGTATGGCGCTGAATTGTACCAGTATAAGTTCATATGATACAATAGTTCCAGCTACCTGGAATGGAAGACGTTACCACCAAAATTATTACATTAGTTCTTACAGCTACCTATATTTGTAAATCAAAATCTGTCAAAATAGAAGTATGCATATTCCAAAAGAACAGAATTTGTCAAGCAACCTAATAGAGTGGCACCCCATTTTAATGTTTCTTGATTGAAGATTTTCCTTCTGTTAGCTTTTAGTTTCACTGATTCCAAATTAATGATGTGTTAAATTGCCTCAATTTAAGATTTTACTAGTTTATGTTCAGATCCATTGCTCCCAAAAGAAACTTTAAATTGGGGTTTCATTGCATAAATTTGTATTACACAGTATGTTCATAATCTAAAATTGTGTAGTGTGTTATAGAAGGAAGATAAGAGTAATTATTGACAACTATAGATCATTGAAAACTAAGAATGGAGATCATTAGAGTCAAAGAAATTGCCTTAATAACAGTCTTAAGACAAGATTACATATATATAGTTGTCCTGTAAGTCCCAGGCCATAGGAGACCTCAGTTACCTCACAAAATACATATTGCAGGCCAACAAAACCACAGGTGCATATGGAACACTCATTCACTACATAAAGTATTCAAACTGGAGTTCATCATGTTGCTCACATGTGAATGTGGCACTGTATGTTGCAGTGTCCCAGGAAAATCCAGCTGTCTGGAGAACATTCCATGGGGTTGGCCCTGTCTACTATCCATACAAAAACTGATCTAACCACTGGCGCACAGAACTGCTGAAGAGGGGTGTTACTCCATTCTGCTGGAAGTAAAATTGAAAGAGTGACATGAGGGCTCTTATATTCCAGGAGCTGATGGTTAACCTGTTATCCATAAAGGCAGGCCTCGCAGTAGCACTGCCATGGATGCCACACAATACACTGATTCAAAGCGAGGTTCAATGTTGAGCTTCAAGAGCTATGCGATAATTCTTATCTGACCAGTACACAGCATTATGTCTGCTGATGATACCATTCTCCAGACCTCACACCACTGGATTTTCTTCTGTGGGATCACATAAAATCAATGAAGTATGAGAACTGGCCATAAAACATTGACGCTCTTCAGGACAGTATCTGTGTTGGGTCCCCAACTGTTACCCCAGTTAACAGTGATGTTTGCACTGTAGTGTATGGCACAATTTTCACGTGTGCAACAAGGCAGGCACCAATTTGAACATTTACTGTAGTGACTGTACAAACCGTTGTGTTGTTCCATGCTTTTGTCATTTTGTGTACTTGCAGCATTTTGCCATAGTTGGCCACACTACAACAAGTATATTAAAACAATGGTTTCATTCATTATTCTTGTTTGATGCTGTACCCATCTTCACTACCATTTCCCCTTACCCTCAAAAAGTATCCCCCTTTCACCGTCATGTCACCTGAAGCGGCCTCTGTAGTCTAGGGGTAACGTTCCCACCTCATGACCCAAGGTACATGAGTTCAAACCCGGTGGAGGTCGTGGAATTTTTAAGGGTGTGTCATAGATTTACGGCATGTAAAAGATCCTCATGTCTCAAGGAGACCTCTGAGCAAAATTAGGCAAAGTTTCCCGCCCAAGTAGTTTCCAATTCCTCCAATAGGTGGGGAAGTATTGAGGACCACTGCCAGAGAGGTGGCCGACCTCGCTGGCGGAACAGGGCTGATAGCGAGCACCAGTACTGGAAGGGCATGGCGACTAGTAGAATAATTGAAGGGGGACGCACAATAGATTAACAACTAGTCACAGTGCATAGGGATACCCAACCCCTCCAAGAATAATAATAATAATAATAAATCATGTCACCTGGGCAATATTGCCATACTTTTTTACTATTGATATGTAAAGAGCGTAGTTGCATAACAGCTTATCCTAGGTAAGGGATTCAAGTACTTGAGGTTGGAAACACATGATTTGCTACAACTTTTCTCTTTTTACAATTTTCTGTGTTTCGCCAAATCACAGGTCTCCTACGGCTTAACACTGAAATCATACATTATAGAATTCATTAAGAATGTTAATGGAAGTACAGTAAATTCATACAAAATATCCCCAAATTATTTCTTTTCAGTGTGATTATGTGTGACATGTTCTGAGAACTACCCAGAAATCATTCAGCCAGTCAGGCTGGAGATGCAGGCACTCCTCACTTCAACTTAAGCTGACTGGTAGCATACTCAACAAACCAAGGGGCTATACACATTACAGTTTTCCTTCAACGCTGCCCAGTGAACTGTGGAACAGCTACCATGTGGCCAGCCTATGCTTTATGTCTGAGCCAACCAGTATCATCTTATATGGTCTCTGTTTCACTTTTGTGGCAGTTCATGTTGAGATTTTTTAAAAATATCTGCTGTTCAAGGCATATGAGGGATTTTTGGGAACAGTGGTCAAGCCTAGCATCTGTTTCATCCAGTTTTTCTTCAGTGAGGACAATACATTTTGATTAAGTTGAATTATAACTTTGTTTACCTTAATTCATTTATGATTATTTTTTTCTACTTGGAACTGTTTCATCTTGAAATTTTTACCAGAATCTTTTCCCTACTATTATTACCCAACCATTTTTCAGATAGGCATCACACATGAACCCTCATTCCAAAACGTAATTCACACATGTAGCAATTTTAACACAAGTAATGTGACTGAATGTTTAATATACTATCAGGGATTTAGGGTTATAGCTGCCAGCCATAATATGTAAGCTTGCTTAAAAGTACCTATTGAGTGGTTTACTGAGGGGGAAACTGTAATGTGTGTAGGCTTTGGGTTTGTACAATCTGTTAACGGTTGGCCCATATTGACATGAGGAGCATCTGACTCATCTATTTGAGTAGCTACACAGTTTTCAGGTAGCTCTCAATTCACCACATGGTATTTTCATATTCCATGTATGTATTGACATTATTAAAATGTATGTGTATAAATGAAACAAAAGTTGTATGTTATAAGATTCTAAACCTAACATATCTGACCCTTTATTGAAACGAACCGTGAGAAGAAGTGTGCGTCTGACGGAAAACAGATTGAGTCCAGTTAGTGCAATTTCCTTTGTTGTCACTTGATGTAGGAATCTCTGCACCTGCAAGTGATTCATGGGACAGTTCTGTAAAGACAATTGGCCAAGTTTTTTGTATAAACTGGATTTGCAGCAATTTGATTGTGTACATAACTCTCACACAACATTTATAAACCATTGAAGATAACAATGAGTACCTATGAATATGTAAAATAACCAGCTGAAGACACAAACGAATCCAACATTTGAAAATTATATGAGCATGAACCGTAATAGGAACTTACTGCACTTTGTCACATACAGTGTATCCCCCATTTAATGTTCAATTTCAGTGATCCCAAGTGAAAAATCTGTGTTAAAATTCCTCTATTTAAGATTTTCTTCACTTTAATGTTCAAACCTATTGCTCCCAAGAAATGTTAAGAGGGGGGGTTGCTCTTTCACTGTATAAAATTACCCTCTAATCATAAATATCACAGAGCTAACTAAGGTCTACACTAAAAGCAGTGCCTTCGTATGGCTTTCTGAGTTAAAGTTCTTAATTAAAATGTGCTATATTTTGTCTGTCTCTTAAAAAGAAACTTTATAACAAGTTTAGTGTTTAATAAGAATGCTTGCACATGCTGAAACATCACACATTTACATTTACTGCATCACAGACAATGCTTTAGAAAAAAAGGGTTGCATAGTCAAAAGGTTATGAAGCATCTGGTGTAGGTTGTTGCTTTTTATGGCCCCAGGCTCTCTTTGTACAGTACAGAAAAACTGATGGAAGGATTCAGTTAATTTGTTACAAGTGGAACTGTTTTTTGCACCTCAGTGGAGAAGCTGGTTGCAGGAACTGAGTAAAGGATATTCCTAATTTGACAGCTCTGCTCACTGATGCTGGCTGCAGAGAGGGTCACTGCAACTATCCGTAGAAGTACATATCCAAAAGATAAGCAGAAGTAGACCATTTGGACTGCATTTTGTGGTAGACTGAAACAATTAGAACAGTACAGCTCCAGGGAAAATTACTGCTTTAATTGAGAAAAAGTATAGAACAAATTAAAGCAATTTTTATTATATATACTGTCATGGAGAAATGTGGTTATTGTTGATAATATTTTTTTCTTCCCTTTTGCCAGAATAGTTCTGAAATATAACCAGAAGTATACAGAGCTATGGCCTAAAATTGAAAGGAACTACATATTATCACATTAAATTTTCAAGAGGGAAATATTAATGACTAAATATATTCCTTTTGGATACAAGAAATCTGAGAAAAGGGATGTGGAATTAACTGATACATAACCAGGAAATAATCAGTCTCAGGACAGTATTGGCATCTGCTGGTACTTGATGCCTTATTATTTTCTGTTATTACCACCAGGAACATTTTAGTCTCTCATTTATATTTCTGTGTAAAACAGTTCCAAAGATCTATATCATCAAACATAGGTTATACCAGCATATTATTTTATTTCTTAAACAAAAAGAAAATTTCAATTTTTATTTTTTTTCTGCATTTCCATATTTGGGAGATATTTAATTCCTTTCTATATTAGACCCTAGCTTGCTTTTGATTTTTGTCTTAAATGTACCTTAAAGGAGACCCAATTCCTCTGTCATCCTCGTCTTGTCTTCCAAGTTAAGCTTTTGGCAAAATGTACTGGACTTGGCCTGTTCTCACAGAAACCCTATTCTTAGCCACAAGTTTAACCTACTTTCCTTTCCTAAGGAAAGAAAATAGGCTTATGAAAGAACCATGTTGTTCTAGTATTTGCATGTGTCTCTCCTTTTGGCTTTTGAGCCATTTAATCGGTTTTCACAAAATTTTATATGTTGACTCTGCCTTTAGAGACCATATGAACCTGAATTCAAATCGTCCATTCATAGTGGAGCCAGGCAGTTGATAATGAGGTGACATCAAGGTGCCAAACTTTCCACCTGATGTAAGCTCTGGAGATCTCTTGGTCTGCTTATAGTGAGATATCCCCAGGTGCCTTCTTTCATTTGCCAGCAAGGACAACAAAGCCTCGCTGCTGGTAACAGCTGGACCTAAAGTGGAGCTCCAGCCAAGCCATCAGTTTTCCTGAGATGGACATCCTTTTACCAGGGCGCTTCCTCACTAATCTGTCAAATTTTTGTGCTTGATGGTCAGGGTACTCACCCTCATCATGAGTACTCTTTCAGTCTCACCCTCAGTTGACCCCTCACCAGAGCCCCTGAGAGATTCTGACTGCCTCTTCACAGAAGTAGGAGAGCAGAACATGGAGAAAAATACCTCTCCCTAAAGCACCAATGGCAGGAACCCTCAAGTCACTCCTCATATATATACAGGGATGGCAGAGTCCCTCCTCTGGTCCCATCCAGACCTACAGCCGAGACATCAGTCACCCAACAGGGGAACCTTCCCCACTGTACTTCCCTCTTCTAGGATTTCCAGTTCTTCCTGATAGGTTTTGTGGGGTTTCGTCTGTCGTTACTTCAATGACAACCCACTTCTTCGGAACAGTTTGTAGGTCCTGAAAAGGACCGTTGGTTGCTGAGATGCTTGGCTGGTGAAGTAGCACAGGGCGCGCCGGTAGGAAGGGATGTTGGTTGTGGTGTGTTGAGGTGGCTGAGTCAGTTGACTGGCCGCAGTGTGGCCGTTGCTGGAGGTTGCTTGGTTGTTGGATAACGTTCGCTTGCCGAGCGCAGTCGCAGGAGTGGAGAGGCGTAGCTACGCCAGTTGCCCAGTGTGTCGGGCATGACTACCGGCGAATCAAGGCAGCCGAGTTGCCCAATGAGTCGGGTGTGACAGCCGAGGCAGTCGTGCCTGGTGCAGCGAAGTGCCGATGCCTCCGAAGACTGAGTGCTGGTGATGAAGCATGCTGTTTGTAGACTGCTTGAAGACTGCTGAGGAACTGACGTTGAACTGATGACTGCTGTTGCCAGGTTGGAGCTGCTCCTTTTTATACCCACCTCGGTAGGTGGAGCGAAACTTGCATTTGAGGAGCAACAATTTGCAGAGCGCTGATTGGCTAGCAAAAATGAGGAGCGGAAATTTGCAGTGCGTGCTTGTATAAATATGAATGAAACGTCCGGCAATGCGATATTCGCTAAGGAGTGAGTGTTGTCTAAAAGACTGGTGGAAACAGCGTGCTATGTGGGATGTCCCCACAGTACCATACCCATTCCCGAGTCCATGAAAGAGTTGGTTATTTCCACAGTAGCAGAAGACCTAGTAACTGAGCCTTCTATGCAGGAAGACCTCTCTGTAATAACAGGAGACTACAGAATTGGACTATTCAACAGAAGGGAGAATTTTTCTGTCAAGATACTGACAACAAGATAATTCCAGCCATCCTCTGTCATTTGCCAGCTGGAAGGATGAGCACAGCCCTCACCACTGTGCCACTGAACCTGCACCCAAGCTCCAGGTGAGCACTCACTTCTTTAAGAAGTGCCTTCCTGTTCAAGGCTGCTGCTTCTGCTAGCCAGTGAAATTCTCCTCCATGGTCAGGTTTCCTGCCCTAACCAAGAGAAAGCCTCACCCTCAGTGTACCCTCATTAGAGACCCTGAGAGATTTTGGTTGCTGTAGGGGAAATCTGTCACAACCCATCCACACAGCAACAAAAGTGGGGAGAAGGATAATCTACAATGAACAATGAAGAAACATATATCCCAAAGGCACCATTCACCACGATGCTCCCTCAGTGCTATGCAGGCTTTGGCATGGAAGCTCACACTTGAACTTCAATCACCACCACACTAAATCATCCAGACTGGCCTATCTGCCTCCAGTCAGGAGAGCATGCTACTTCTGGGGATTCACAAGGAGGCAGGTGAGGTGACATGTTCCCCAATGGCTATGTGAAACATTGAAGTTATGTATGAAAATTTAATGTAGACAAAATCTGTAGTAATTCCTCATCAAAAAGATGATGGTGATAACAACAATAAAATTATTCATAATCTGTAAGGAATGAACAAATATGACTTGACTAGGATCTGACTGTATTGTATTTATTACACTCTGGCAACATCCCACGTTCCAGCACATCCATACAAGGCCGAAGTCATTGGATACAGAACCTGTCACAACACAAGCTTGCTAAATCAGTAAGTAGTCAACAGAACAATGCATATAAATCCACAACAATAAATCAAGCATATGAAACCCTACACATCACTGCAACTACATAACCTACCATATGTATATAAAATATAATACAAAACTGGAACATATACATGACAATAGATCAAATACTGGGTCATAGCTAAACGAGAAACTATCCCTAAATAAAATATTAATCTAAAGTGTAACAGGATTTAGTATGTAAAAAAGCACTTAAAGCTGCTCTAAATTGCTTAATATTATGAACTGACTCTTTTATGTTTGAAGGAAGATGATTAAAAAGCTTAATACCAAAATAGTAAGGTTCTCTATTGTAAATTGTCAAATTTGTCTGAGGGCGATAAAGATCAAAATTACGCCTAGTATTAAGGCCATGAATTTGTGATGTCGTGTGATATAAACCCATGTTATTTGCAACAAACATCAAAAAAGAAAAATATATTTGGCACTGCAATGGAAAAATTCCCCAGTTCCTAAATGCATCTCTACAAGAGTCACTAGATCTCAACCCACTCATGGTTCCAATTATTCTCTTTTGAATTCTGAAAATATGCATAAGAAGAATTGCCCCAAAATATAATTCCATAGGACAAAAGTGAATGGAAATACGAATGATATACCATTTTTAATGTGTCTGTGGGCATAATGGGCTTGATCACCCTCATTGAGTAACAAGCCTTGCACAATTTAGACACGAGTTGGGATATATGAGCTTTGTATGACCATCTGTCCATAAGTACAAAACACATTCCCTAGAGTTAGACTGCGGTTTATTATTGCATTACAAATTTATTTTATCATAATAAGATGTTAACAACACAAGTTGTAGTACTGGAAGTCTGCAGTAGCAGGCTCTACGAATTCTACTCATAACTCCATGCTAACGGAGACTATTCAAAAGACACCTGATAAGCCTCCTTTCCATTATGGGCCATAATATTCTTCAATGGATGTTGCATTATTATTCAGTAAGTACTCTTCCAAAATGAATATCTTTACCTGCAAATAACTTTTGTTTGCACTATCTTACTCAGATTCTGGACAAGTGGCTAAGATGGAAGGACAAAGAATGAATACAGAATTCTGATGTGTGGACACCTCTTGGGACACAGCCATTTGGAAGGTCATGGAGATGGAAGGATAACATTAAGATGGATTTTAGGGAAGTTGGGTGTGAGGGTAGGAGTAGGAAGCAAGAAGCACAGGATCAGGGACAATGAACCTTGGGTTCTACTAGCAGTGAGGCAGTATATATTGTTCAGAGAACACCCAAACTGGCACCCAAGCATAGCTTTGCTTGCTACCTTCTTCATGCTGGTTTTTTGCATGCTTTAATCTTTGATCTTGACCTTGGAGGTGACATGTTCCTCTGAAACATAGGTTGACTTTCAATGGCCTGCACAGAATTATATCCCAGAAGACAGAACTCTTCATAGCCACTACTGTGGGAACTTCACACCCCACAAGTGCCATTCCATTTCACATCATGTTGACATGTAATACTTACTGTAGGCTGTTGAGCAGCTGGATGCAAACAGTGTAGAGGTTGTTAGCAAAGGAAAGAAACACAAGTTTTGAAATATAGGAATCTACTGTCTTAACTAGGCAAGACAACGTATTGTAATCTTCATGCATCTGGTTCCAGAATCTTGGTGGGACAGGCTGCAACAGATAAATAGATCATGAAACAGGAGAAGAATATAGATGAAGATACCAAATTTATACAGAGAAATTATACTAAAGTAATAAATTCTGTATTGACGAGAGTTCAATACATATTCATTTCTAAGGGTCCATATTTTAGAAAGGACTTCTGTTCTATCTTCCAAATTGTAACTTCTTGTTCATAGTCTTGTGCACAGAAAGTTAACAGTAGGATAAGGGAAAGCTGTTAGGGTAGTACTGCAAGGACTGTTTACAGAAATGGTAAAGATTGTTGGACTACAGGATGAGAGACTTTTATCAAGTTAATAGACTACTGCTTTCAATCCTGAACTTTAATTTGTATATTGTTTAGTCATTTATAAATTTATTCATTGCTTATTCATTCTCACTTCATTCTGAGCTTTCTTCAACTTTATGACATAGTAATACTATACCTTTCTAACAGTCAAGGATTTCTGTTGAATGATTGTTATTGACAGTTCATTTTAACAATCTGTGCTGTAAGGGTCAAGTGTCATAAGACGGCCTAAGCCTCGTTCTTATTCATTCATTCATTCATTCATTTATTTTTCGTTCCATGGATCCACAATACAAGTGAGATATAGGACATGTCCGTACAGTGATTATTCATAAAATTAATAGAGCAAGAACTAAGTACATAAATAAAAAAAAGTATAAAATACAAATACAAAAACAGAAACAAATCAGAAACAAAATAGATTCCAGTCATATGGCAGAAGTTTGCTGAAGTTTTGGAGGAATGGAATATACAGGCAATCAATATGGTCTCCTAAAATGTCGGTAAACTTCTACTAGATTACATGGCATCACATTGCAGGAGTTAATATCTTTACATTGAATCAGTTGAAAAATGGATACCTTTCCTTGAACAGATTTCAAGCATCTGTTAAGCTGACGAAACCTGTCAGCCAGCGCAACACTCATCAGGACAATGAAGAGGTCCATGTAAGTCCAACCAAAGGCACATAACACATTGATGATGAACATGGTTATCCCATTCCAGAGAGAACAAGGAAAATAATCATACACATGGGGAAAGCTATTGAAGAAGAAGGTGCATATACCATCCATCTTGTCTTCTATTGCACACAATACTGCCAAGCGGATTACTCGAATATGCGAAAAGGCATGTTCGACTGTAACACAATGAACATTATGCAGTAAGTTCCAATTTTAAGATACAGGTACAATAAACCAACTGGAACCCCAACTGTAGTGGTATACATAGAAATTTAACAAACACTGAATCATTTAAATAAATGATCATTGAACTATCTGTCATGAGGAATTCGTTCTAACCACTTCAAATTCACGCTACCTTATTTTAGTTACAATCACCTGAGAGTGTGAAAATATTCCATATTTTCATACTGTAAGAATATTGTGATCACAAAAGTTACATTGTTATTTTTTTACTTTCTGAAGAGGTACCTAAACTTAAAAATTTAAATGAAATATTTCTCTAATTGAATTTACATTGTTGGATGTAACCTGCTGTTCTGGGTAAAGGTACATATTAACACACTCTTTTAGCATTATTTTTAAATTACACATTCATTCTCATATTTATATAAACCTATCATTTTCTGATTACAAACTGAAATTTTCATTACCTTGTATGCCAGTAATGCACTCCCTCTGTAAGAATTCAACTAAGCATAATTAATTATGTGCATTTCAGTCTCACAATTTCTCTTCAATCAGTATACTTTACATGGAGAATAAAAACAGTGGTTACTTACTGAAAGCTATAGAGAGAAACATTGCAGTTATTAGACAGAATTTGTGATGCTGACGATAAGGGTAGCCATGATGAGCAAGAACTCTTTCCATCTTCTCCCATCTATAAGCTAAAGCAGGCCATCGACGTGCTAGCAGCAGGAAAAGTAGCATTCTACTGAATGAACAGCCATAGAAAACAGAGCATTCTGTGGACACATCACATATAACATAACTCCACCACCAGAGTAATAAACCCTAACCTATGCTTCAGAACTGAAGGGGTACACTGGAGTAAAATTACTTTTATCATATTGCTGTGACTGGTGATTTTAAAGTTTCACTGCACCAGGAGGAATGTTAATTTTTGTAGATTTTGGCAAACATAAAATAATTTCCATCCAGTACTTAACAGAAAGTTCATTCTATAATGACACAACAACAAGAAGCTTACCATGTAATTCATCTCTTTCAATTCATACACCAAGAGTAATTCTCTTAGTACCAATTACAAGCTGATTTATTGAGGCTAGTGATATAGGCAATATTTGACATATGGTCAGTCTTCTCATTAGGAATAAATATGTTGAATTTAGTTATGTGTGTCCAACAGTGTGAAGAGATACAAGAGGAATGAACTGACAGATATACAGAGAAGTAGACAGATAGATAGGTAGATAGATAGATAGATAGATAGATAGATAGACACACAGACAGATAGATAGAAGCTTGAGGAAAGAAGTGTGAAAGTAAGCTAAAGCATTCATATACAATTGACAATTCATTAGCCTTAGAAATTTACATTACAGGTATTATTCATGTTATTCTAGATTTATATTAACAGAAGCTCCTTAGGTGAAACACAACTTTTCATACCTAAACCTTTACTGTTCTGCATATTGCTGCCCCCAACTCACATTTTCAAGTTATTATGATAAACTTTACCATGGATTGGACTTACGAGTCTCTTCAAATGTGCGACCATATTTGAAGAATCTTATAAGACACAAAGATGTCATGAAGAAAGTCCCAAAGAGAGATAATGCTGCATACATGACTCGCAGATTAAACCATGAAAACCTACAAAACAGGACACAACATAATGTTAGAACATTCAAACATTACCTGTGACAATAGGCAACATTTAGTCACACATTATTTTATCTCATTTCTTACACATAAACAATATCCATTTGCCTGCATGTTTTTGATTCAGTATGTGTGCACATGCACATCTGTACACTCTGTCTAAACTTTATGTAAGTAAGCTTGAAGATCATGTTACAGAAGATATGCTAAAGTCTATATATTTCAAACCCCTTTCTCTAACAATACAAAAATGAAGGCCACTGGAATCATGTGGTTGGGGCAGCTGCAGCCAGGTTACCTCTCTTGCAAGATGGGTATCTTGTTATGCCAAATCATTGGTACTATTACTTATTATCTCCTGTCCAAATCCCTCACATTTATAATATTGAACTCCATGTCATTCAGACTGGTTCCGGAGCCGACCCAGCCTCCTTTCCAATTGGTACTGGGAGCTCTTTCCCCGGAGGTAAAGTGGTCGGAGCGTGAAGCTGACCACTCACCTCCAAATGTGGCGAGGTCAAGACATGGATCTATACATCCACTCCCCCATACATCTCCATGGCATAGTGCTTAATTAGTTAAGCACAGCGACAACTTTTACAAATATTATATTATCAACATTCAATTGGTAATGTCCACTTCAAATAATAGCTTCATTAATTGTCAATCACAAACAGTCTAAAAAAACTTGTTTACTATCAAAAAGACTATATTAAATATTCTAGAAGGTGAAAAGGGCGTGACTGACTTTGGGTAAATGGCAAAATTAAATTTATTGATTGACAATTTATTGATTGCAGCCAGCAAATTATTCCAATGACTGATTAATGTATACAAAGTAATTATCAGTGACTCAAATAGTACAGTCATAACTAGCACAATGTTTCAATATAATGATCTCTAATAAATAAGCAAAATACACTTAATAGAAAAATATTTTATAACACTGTAAAATATATTGTCACAGGAGATGGGCATGAGTGGGGTAAGTATTGTGTCACCTGGCCTGTGTATGCCATTTGATTAGTCAAAATATCTAGAAACCTCTTCGTGCCTTCTGGTATGGTAAAAAGTAAATTTGTCCTGGCTATGGGCTGGATTACCAAGGGGTCAGAGTTTGAGTCCCGGTAGGGTCAAGAATTTCCATTTCTTGATGTCGTCCAGACCAGCTCTGGGGTCCACCCAACCTCCTATTCAATGGGTATGGGGGGGGGGGATTTTTCCTGGGGGTAAAGTGGCTGGGGTGTGAAGCTGACCACTCACCTCCAACTAGTTCTGAGGTCAAGAGAACGTGGGTCTATACATCCACTCCCCTATACGCCTACATGGTGTAGTGCTTAATTAGTTAAGCTCAAGGAAAACTTTACATTGATTAATTAAGCACTGAGCAATGACGGTATATGGGGGTGTGGAGGTATAGCTCAACCATTCTTGACCTTGGCACTAAATGGAGGTGGGTAGTCACCTTCACATCCTGGCCTTTTTTCCCCAGGGGAAAAGATATCTGTATCCATTAGATAGGAGGCTGGGTAGACCCAAGAGCTAGTCTGGATGCTTTGGTGAAGAGAGAAATACCTTGCCCCTGTTGGAAATTGAAACCCACCCCTCCAGCCTGTAGCCTACTGCTATACTGACTCAGTTATCACCCATTCTAGTACGAGTACATTCTGGAAATCACATAGTTTATACCATAGGCCAAAGTCACTGAAGGACTCTATGGAACCTTCCTGAAGGGTGGCTCTATCAATTAAACATCTGTAAAGCCCATGTATGAGTTCTGTTCGGCTCAGTTCAGGTGCATCACTGTTCAGTTAGTCAGTGACTGTGCAAATAGTCTGTTGGCTCTGAGTTCAGTTACAAGAGANCTTTATGTCCTTATTGTGGTCTTTATGAATGTACGTATATATCATTATTTTATGTTTATATTATATTTGTATCTTGACAGGTTCTATATCCCATAGGTTGGTTTGACCTTGTATGGATTAACAGAATGCAAATAAATGAATGAATGAATGAATGAATAGTCTGTTGGCTCTGAGTTCAGTTACAAGAGCAACAATGAGAGAAGAGATAAGTGCAATGAATGAGCAGTGGCAATGTTGTAAAGTAACAAGTGGATAAACAACTGAACTTAACAGCATAAAGTGGTTTCAGCCAGTGAGACAAAAATTGATTCAAATATTTATAAATGTTACAATGTGAATTTATTGGAGCTAATTTATTGAAGAAAGCCTAAGATCAGATCTAATTTTAACAAACTTTTACTTCTTTTTTTCTAGTAGTCCACCACTCTTATTGTTTGTATGTATGATAGACAGAGTATGCATGCCTAAGAGTGTCTGTATTCACTTTCATTTTCAGAATCTGATTTAATATTTACACTTTTTTAAAGGCTGTCCTGGATTTAAAAATGTTATGTACATATTTCTGTATGTGTGTATGACAATTTAGTGGTGTTGGGGCTTGTGTGACTCTGTGACCTGGAGAGCTATGCCAGTGGTAGTTTAGCTACCAGTAGGGTCACCCATGCTGGAAGGGTCAAAGGGTAGAGTCCAGACTAAGAGAGATACCCTGGTGCTCCAGGTTGGGGTTGGGCATGGGGCTAACAACCTCATCCTGTAAAAAGAATTTTGTTCAGAAACCTAACAACCATCCTAAGATAAATGGAACATATGGGAAACAGACTAAGCAAAGGAAAAGGAACAATGACATTGCAATGGAAACTTGGAATGTACGAACAATGCTGAAACCCAGAAAGATACAAATGGCTAGACGATGTTGAGAATGACCTGAAGAAGATGAAGGAGAAAGGATGGATAGTGAAGGTGATGAATAGAGAGCAGTGGAGAATGGTTATAGAGGAGACCAAGGCTCACCCAGGGCTGTAGCACTGAGTGGTAGGTAGGTAAGTATGACAATTTAATTATCATCTATAAAAATATTTCTACAGGAATATAATGTGTATTAGAATTGACAAAAGCATGTTTCTATGCCTTTATAAACCTGGAGAGGTTTTTATGAATATGCTGGTCTCACCTGGTAAATGAGGCACTTGGACCTGTGATGCCACAGACAGGCATGAGCCCAAAACATTGAGCTACAACAATGACTTTGCTGAATGCTCCATGGAATGAATCTAATTCAGACACAGACTTCTTAAATTCCACCAATTCAGACCTTCCTACATTATCCACCGTCCTCACTGGAGTAATGGTGGACAGTGGATCCATGAACGTTGGTAGATATCCACACTCATTAGTTCTGACTGCCATTTGATCAACTTAAACACAAAATCAGAAAGTAAGCTAAGACTAAAAATAAGGGCATTAAAATTATTAAGTTCTGTTACACAACACATTTTTGGACCAGTTTTTGTAACTCTTAAAATAAAAATATACCCATGTATCATTTAAAATTAACCCTTTAAATTATTAAAGACAGCTTATACAATCCTTTTACCTCGAAATGTCGAACTACATGGCTAATAGCAGTTGAGAAAAATTAATATGACTAAAATCACCAGACCCCCTTTTTTCTTGGCCTATTATAGTTTTTAGAAAATCAGTTAGAAAACATGCAACCATTCTCAAAGGGAGGCAAACAAATTATTACATGGGAGGAAAGTGTTTCAGTCCTCAAATTTCCACCAATATTGTTCTACAATAAATCGTTTGTTAAGTGTAAGAACTTTTATATCCCATCTAAGTGCTCCTATTTAACTGCTGATGCATAATGTTTACATCTATGTAAGGGAAAACTATCTTGCAAGTTTTATGCTTAATATTGTCAAAGTATGTAATTTAAAACATTAATAATCATGCATCTGTAAACAGCTATTTAATATTTATCTTCCTATGCAAATCAGATCATAGTAAGTACAGCAGAAATGACATTTAGTGTTCCTCAGTTCAAGAATTTCTCCTCCTTCATGTGCAGATTCTATGGTTCAAACATAATTATGACAGTTAGATACAAATACCTGTTTTCTGTCAATTATATTAGTGCCAAATATCCTCCATTTTACCTCAGTTCAATGGCTCCCCATGAGGATTCAATTTATATATCCAGTAATTAATTTCAACAGTGTTCATTACATGTCATTAACTTCCTGTGTCCTTTCAAAGGTCATGGTGCTCAGCATGACAACCATATTCAATTGACCATAAGGCTAAGGCTAAGTTGATGGCACTGTTACCTATTTAACCCTTTAGTGTGTTCACAAGTAAGAATAAATATTAGGACACAATGGGTATGCAGATGAAAATGAACAAATGCCATAAAATTTCCATTTGGTTCTTACAGCAAGTTATTAAATCCTGAAAATGATGCCATGGCATGATTATTTTCTAGCTACTGATTTACTTGTGTCATTAACAGGTCTTAAATAATATTTAAATACTATAAACCATGTAACATCTATATCTTTTAGTAGTGCAGCCTAACTTACTCACAGGCTTGTGATAAGCCTTTGAGTTCCACAAAAGACAGGTAACATTAAATGTGAATTCTACTGTACTTATTATGTGCCTGTGTAAATGGGAAGATGAATATCAAACAATTATTTACAGACAAATTATTCTGAATTTTTTAATTAAATACCTCATGCAATATTTTGGCAAAAGTAATGTTAAAATTATTAAAATGGGGAAGTCATATGGACATAATAATATCATAAGCTGCTCTTCTCTTATAAAATGAAGCTATGAATAAAATCAGACTCAGCCAGTTTGTTGCCAGCTTTTCATGATGGAAGTCTAGGTCCAAACCCAGGGTAGTTCATATGGGGTTTGTGATGGACACAGTGGCAGGCTTCTCTCATAGTACTTGGTTTTCCCCTGCAAATTTTCATTCCACCAATGCTGCATAATCATTTATCAACAGGAGTGGTACAATAAGCCTACTAGGCTGTGCCATAGCTCAAGCGGTTAGTCGCTGGCTTCCCACCGCGGCAGCCCAGGTTCGATCCTGGGTCTCGTTAAGTAGGATTTGTGGTGGACAAAGTGGCACTGGGGCAGGTTTTCTCTGAGTACTTCGGTTTCCCCTGCCAATCTTCATTCCACCAGTTGCTCCACAATCACCCTCACCTATCATCTGGGGCTGGTACAACAGGCCAGAAGTGGCCACAGTACAAGGGACTTAGTCCCACCCTACTAGCATTAAAAAAATTTAATAAGCCTACTACAGGCCTGAGTCCCACTCCACTCCTACAGCTAGAAGAAAAAAAGAGTTTCATTTATGTATATTTATGATGTCATAAAGCTCAATACACATTAAGTTTTCAAACTTACACTGATTATTTTAACGTTTTAAAGCAAAGTGTTGTTATATGCACCACTATATGTACCACCTACTTTAACATCACAGTTAATTCAGAACTACAAAATGCCTGGAATGTGTGAGAGGGACAGCAAAACACCTGAAGCTGGGGTAGCTGATTGCTGGCTGGCATGGCAGGAGGGAGAAATTCTATGGTGTGGAACAATGGAATATATCACATTCCTGGGTAGAAGCGATATCATCCTCACTGTTCTCTTTGCAGCATTAAGCAACACAACTTTATCGCACTGTTCTGTAGACGACTCTTTAAACAAAAGAAAATGTGCCACAATTTTATGACCATCCTTTGTGCCAGTACCAGAGAAGTAATAAACAGAATAATATGGCACATCTGTGTGACAGTGAACTGAATATTTGATGAAATAGGAATGCAGGACTGTTGCAATGATATGAGACACTGGAGTTATTCTGTTACTGTCAGTCAGTCTTGTTAAATTTGAGGCTTTCACGGTGGTGACTATGAAGAAAGCAGTCTTCTGGGATTTGGCACCATGTAGATGTGGTGTTAACTGATGTTTCAGAGGAACATATGACCTCCATATTCAGGGTAGAAGGAAAAATAAGAAAATCTGCAAGCAAAGAGACAGTGAGTCGGTTAACACTACATCTACACGGTGCCACATCCCAGAAGACTGCTTTCTTCACAGTCTTGTTAAAGTCTGTTACTCTGTTTCTTTTCCAATTGTATGGCAAACAATTGAAGGGTATTGGCAAAATTCTTCAAAATTACACATCTGGCAATGCATCGTACGTTTCAACCCTGAAGCTAAATTCAACCATGGGATTACCTGCAAATAAGCTTTTAGAGAAAAAGGTTCTGCTAGTTTGTATTCAGCTACTGTATTTTCAAATCATTATACCTACCCATTCCTATTCATTCAATCCAGAAAATACAAAAGCATTATGGATGTCTCACCTGACTTGTGTTTTCCATGACTTTCCTCAGTTTCTCCTGGTTAAACTAGTTAAAATAGACCAAACTCTTCATCTTATGTCCTATTAATTAAAACTGCGGTTCACTCTAATTACATCATGATATATTTCTTTAAGGCTACAAATTCAAAAAAATGAAGCTGGTATGTTACAATTTAACTGGGATACTGTTTACAGGAATCAGAAAATAATCTTTCATATCACACTTCATACACATAAAAGAATACAGAATGAAAATTATCTGTCAACAAAACTGTCCATATTTTCAGACTAGCAGGTCATCTGTTAATTTGTTAGAATTCCTAAAGTTGGGGTCTGGATGGAAGTAAATCCTAACTCTACATCATGTAAGGTCAAATTAACCTGCTGAAGTCTTTCAATAATCTTGGTGGTGACATCAGGGTCACTGGTATCAGGAAGAAAATTCTGCCGCTAGGATTGATTTGAATTCAGGTTGCAGAGATGGGGAAAATACAGGTATTTCTTATACCAGTAGTTTCTATGACTTCACACTGTGAGAAGTAGTCTCATTAATTTAAAAAAAAAATGCTAATATAGCCTTCTCTCTCTCTCTCTTTGGCGCTACAGCCCTCATTTGGGCCTAGGCCTACCTCCATGAACTCTCCATTTCACTTCGGTTTACTAGATCTTAGACATTCGGTAGGACTCCTTGGGTGGGTGATCAGCTCGTCGCAAGGCCAATATAGCCTTATCTATTGCAAATATAATAATTGAAAATAATGACATCAGAATCAATTCAGTTCAATGTACTTCATTTACATTTTTATTTGTATGGACTATATACATATATGTATGTTGTGCATAAAATCTTTTTGTACAGTGTTATTCATTTCTATCTGTTTCTGATTGTATCCTATGAAATCATAATTGGATTTACTGTGTAAAATGATCTAAGTACACCATGGTTTCAATGTCTGGTAACAATTTAATTCATATACTGTTCACTATACACACTATGGTAGTAAATAAAAGAAAATTGGTCAGCATGATTATCCATTTATAAGATCATCACAATACATAAAAAAGTTATTAAAGTAAGGTAAAAAGGTAAAGTTGTCCATGTGCTTAACTAATTAAGCACTATATCATGAAGGCGCACAGAGGAGTGAATATATAGATCCACAATTTCTTGACCTTGGCACTAGCTGGGGGTGAGTGGTCAGCTTCATGCCCCCGCTACTTTACTCCCAGGAAAAGAGCCCCTGGTACCCATTGGATAGGAGGCTGGTTGGGCCCCAGAGTCAGTGTGGACAATGTGGAGAAGAGAAAATTGTTGACCCTACTGGGACTCAAACTTCAACCCCTCAGTTGTCCAGCCCATAGCCGGTCACTATACCCACTATGCTATCCTGGCTCCTCTCATTATTAAAGTGGTCTATTAAAAATACTGTTACTTTCACAAGTATATATGAGTATATTTGTTAGTTGATGCATTTTGATTTCTACATTCCCATCAGAGATCCTTGGCTTCATCTCTAGTGACTCTAAAGCTTTAAATTCTATCTAATTTTTACAATATCAATGCTATAAGTGGCCATATGTCTACATTCATTCCAATTTCTGACAGTAATCTTATAAAGACTCTGTAAAATTTCTGACTATGGAATTACAGAAAATGGGGCAAACACATCTAAAAACGATGTTTATTTTTGTTATGACACTTTTTCAGCAGTGCTTGACATCAATGGATATCCTGATTTGTTCTTGTCTGTGACATATGCCACTGTTCCTAAATATTCCCATTCATCAATAGATACAGAAAATCAATATACTGTCACAATAGGCTGATTCAGCATTCAAACTCTTGTAATAGTAGGGAAGTTCTGTTAAGCTTTAATGGCCCATCCTAGCATAACAATCCCTTGTTATGTATTTGTGTAGTCCCCTTGCTTCAGACTTTTTTGTTAGGAAATAAAAAATTGTCATAACATCTCTTAATGACCTGTCATACTCCTTATGTAGTGACAGAGTAATGACATAAGAAATATGTCAGTCTTCAAGGATACCTTGATGTTGGTATGGTTGTAATAGAATAAAATTTTAATGTGTGGTGCAAAATTCTCACATGTAATGCTTCTGTATGCCAGAGACACTGTTTGAGACTATGTTTCTATTATAGGGTGACGTATTTAAACAAGAACCCAATATTAGGAATGTTAATAACATACTGTATTAAAGGGCTAGGGCCATTTTTGAGAAACTAGTATGTGCGGTATACAACATGCAGTGCAAGCAGTAAATGACATTTTACAGGTTATGTGAAATCTTACAATACTATTAAATGGTCAATAGAAAGTCTCCTTGTAGCCCATGAAACTCTTCTTCATCCTGTCAAGATTGGAGTGTGTGTGTGTGTGCAGTGGCTTGACATAGGATTGCTGGGCCCATTTTCCTCAAAGACACCCATTACCTTGGAGCATTATATTGACATAGTCAATGAATTCCTTGGGCACCTTACTGAAAAGGAAATTTCTGAAGCATGATCCCAAGAGGACAGCAAACGTTACACAGCAACTAAGAGCAAGTTATCCCTGCTGTCCAGAAATTGAATAATTTCAAAAGGACTATGGCCCCCAAGCTCACTTGATTTGGCATCACCAAATGTTTTTCTATGGGGCTACATTAAAGACAATGCCTACTGTAATAATACACACAACCTGAATAACTAAAAACCAGCATATCCAACATCCTGTTGACATTTCTTCCATGATGTTGCAGCCAGTTTCCATGAACATGCTTTATCATGCTTTATGCAATATGCTGGTGCACTCTATCAAAACTTCTTATAACAATATATTATAAACATGTTACTCTGAATAACATTTTTGTTTTAGAATATCACCATGTTGCACCTATGAGCTTAGCCAAGATGGCCCTAGCCCTCTAACACATGACATTATTAACATTTCTAACATTGGGTTCTCATTTAGATAACATCACCATGTACTTCTATTGAGGTGCTGTTAGTGTTATGTTCTGCCTGAAGAATAATCTTTCTTTGTATAATGATAGAGATCAGTTTATGTTTATGGGAGTGGTCTCATATGTGTACAAGTATTTGTTGACTCAGTTTTTGGTAGAAATATTTATTTATTTTATGGTGTACTTAACAATTCTCTCAACAAATCTTGACAATAACATTGAATGATAGGTTTATTAATAAATGATGCATTGGAAAGAATGTGGAAGGGAGTCAATATGGCCTGTTTCAACTTACTACCAGCATCTTTCTTGAAGGATTGAGGAAAACCATGTGGGAACTTATTTGGAACTGTCGGTGTCCTGACAAACATTCAAACCAGCCACTTCCACAATTTGAGTCCGAAATGTCAGTGCCTGAGCCAACTTTCCCAGCTTCTTACATAATTCAAGGTGTTCTTGGCAGTAATACAAACCCATACACTGTGTTAGCACAGTAAAAATTGGCACAGACGTTACAAAAGAAGATTAATGAGTGCACAGATGCAAATGAAAGGCTCATACAATAGAGATAAAAGCATGCCTTGTATACCAAACAAAGTATGGGATCTGGTTTTCATATCAGTACCATTATTTTTTAAATATATTATTAAGATTTTGTGACTAAACATGGGGTTTGGATTAATAATTAGATTTATTGAACACTTATAACTAATAACTACAAGTAATTATAATGCTACTGCTAATCTACACACTTAACAATTCACTATAGCACAAGCTGTCTTCTCAGTGTGCTATGTCTTCACCAGCTGTTGCCTGGTAATGGATTACAAAAATGTCCTCTGCATCTGTGCTCACATCCTTACCAGATGGTGACTGTCTTGCACATAACCCATTGCTCCAACTATCTACTGCAGTCAGTTGGTCAATCTGTTAATTTGCTGCTGCCCCTTGCCAGCACAGTCATTCTTGGTTATAAGTCTTGTCAAGATCTATGTACAAGACTTTTTATCTCCTGACATGCATATGTTTAGATGTTGGACCTTGTCTTCAATGAGGGGATGGGTCAGACTGTGCAGGCACTACGACTGTTGCACTATAGTACTCGCTGACTGACTAGCTGCTAAACTGCGGGTGGCCCTTGGCAGGACAATAATTCTTGGTTATGAGTTCCATGGGACTCATGAGCATATTTTAGTGTCCAGCAGCTCTGGGAACCTTCAGACCACTCACTTATTCACCAAAACTCTCACTCCAACTAATCTCGACTGACTGCCGGTTGCTGGCTTTCACTATATACTCTCAACATCATTTGCAACAATATCTTTGATTATTGCCTTCACATCCATTGCCTAGTAATGGACCAGGTATTGTTAATGTGTTTACCTGGCATTGCCTGGCTACTGACGGCTTAAGTAATCATGTCACAATATATATAAGTGTGACTCGGCATTTCATACAATAAAAGTATTGTGATGAAATGCAAATCACCACAACTATATTTTTCTGCCAGAGATAAATTGGCAATAAAAAATGAGAAAAAGATGTTTCAAATTGGCACTCATATATACTTGCACAAGTCATATGTCCTAATCCTCACCTCTGAGCATACCATATCAAGTATTACTGATCTTCATATCATTTCTGAGGAAGGAGTGTGAAGGAGGAGTCACTTGGAAGGCGCAATGCATAACTGTTGATGACATATTATGGACAATGAAAGAGTATACCATGCAAAAATTGGCTTTAATGGGTGAAAATATGAATCTTATGTGAAATAATTTTTCTGTAAAGGTCACAAATGTTTTCATTCACTAATGACTGACAGCCATAAGTATAGAAGTGGCTATATGCCAACAGCCTATGATAGATTCTCAGATTCTGGATCGGCTATAGTTTAAAGACTTTATCAATCAAATATGGTTGGCTTTGAGGTTCTCACAGCAATGACTATGAAGGGGGTCTATTTTCTGGGATATAATGCTGTGTGGTCTGGTGAAAGTCAATCGATGTTTTGGAAGAACATATAGTGTCTATGACCATGGTCAAAGATTAAACATAACAAGAAACCACCATGAAGCAGGCAGCAAGCATGTGTTGTCCCATTTCTTCTTCTACCATGGTACCTCAAGATAGAAGTGTAACAGATGATTGTTTAGAAGATAAGTTTTCTTATGACTAGACTTCACGGGGTGGTATGAATACTATAAAAACATAGCAATTTTGTCATTTTTATTCATCTCTTCTCCCACAATTCTTTCTGACAGCTTAGAAATTTTTAACATGCTGTTGTTCAATACCATTTTTCTTTTTGACTAACTGTTTAGTATAACAAGGCATGACAGCTATGCAATTTGAGACTTCTTTCAATTGCAGTCCTCTTTCTGGTAAACACTTGTCACACTCTGTATTTCTGTTCCCTTTGGTTTAATTCACAAATGAACCATTTTCTTTAAACTTCAATAATTTTTTTAAGAGTAATTGATAAAATACATATTTTATGTTCCATATATTTTTTCCCTGAGGAACTGTTTAATATTGTACTGGGACAGACAGGCACTGACTGTTATGGACAGAGAATACTGTTCAGACAACATACCTGCTAAGTAATCTATTTATACATCAGAACTTTCCATAAAAGTGAATGATTGAAAATAAATGCAATCACGTTACTCATACATGGAAGTATTTTTCAGCATAATATTATCATTAAATTTCATTTAAAGATGAAGTTAAACATTAGTTGATTAACTGGCTGGATTTAGAGGAAACAATGTAGATGATGAAACTGGTAAATTAAAAAATTTAAATGCTTCAGATATAAAAGTATGTTGAAGATAGCCACATGAAATATAAAGCAGATTAATAAAGAAGAGAATTAACTGCAAAATGAACAGGAAAAAAAAGGATGGGTATAACAATTATACAGACCAAGAAATAGTTAAAATGATATCAACCCTTCAAGGAGGGTGTTACATTATACTAGGAACTAGACAGACATTAATTAGCAGCTGCCACAATCATGTTTTTATAACAAATGGTACACACACACACACACAGAGTTCATTAAATTTGTAATGGGATGAGGATATTTAACAGTAGAGACTTCCCCTAATGATCATTACCATTTTCTTAAATACATATCAGAATATACAGCATAATTCTAATAAAGTATGCTATGAAAGAGCTGTTAGTCAATTGAATTCACTAATTGTTATGATACTGACAGTTATACCTTTTTAATCCTGAAGATGTTTCGATCCTTTGGTGTATTTATATGTGTATGTATGCTGATGAAACGACTTAAATTTACAAATTAGCAGTTATTTTAATGCTGTTCTAAGAATATTTAGATTCTTTCATTTTTAAATATAAAGCCTCTTCAGCAGTTTGCAAGATAAAACTGTTTTGCACATGCTTTTGGGTACCTTGTGACAGGTATGGTGCCGGACATTCTGGAAAAGGCTCATGAAAACAAACATTTCAGGGTAAGGTAATGAAATCAACATTGAGTGGAAGTTGTATATCTCCTAACAGTGGAGAATTACTTATAAATGTAATGATAATGCATGACATAACTGGTATTTCTAGAACCCCAAAAAATATAAATGCTTAATGAAAGTTCGCACTCCTGACAACACTGTGTGCCTATTAATATGATTAAAAGTTACTGCATTTAATATTCAAGTCTGCAGCAGGAAATAAACAATAAGAACAGTCCTCTGCACTGAATAGATTGAGTATGTGTGATTTCAATATGTACATTATGAACACACTGTACATCTAGATCAGGAAATTTGGAAGGGGTATACTCCATGAAATAGTACAAAAACTTATCAATGGCATTCCTTGCATCTAATAGTAGGTATAATAAAATACAAATTACTGAATGTCTCCAATATCAAATTTCAATAAAATCTGTGGAAAAGTTTATTCAGTACAGAGGAAAGTTCATTTTTGGCCTTATGTATATATATTCAGTATGAATGAAAATCAGAATAGCATCACAGTTTATGATGCAAGTTCCCCATACTGGATTTCAATAAAATTTGTAGAATGGTTTATGGAATACAGGGAAACATACATTTTGGCCATATATAAATTAGGTTTTGTTATGGATCAATATGGATGAGAATTGGAATGGCCATATAATTTTTGATGGAAGTCTCCCATATTGAATTTTAAGAAAATCTCTCCCCCAGTTTAGGCTCTGACAGAAGGTTACAGATATATGTACAGACATTAATCGCATTAAGGCATTCCTCTTAGGCTCGTTCACAATCCTGCCAACCATTCTGTTAAATTAATGCTGTATACTTTTAAAATCTTGCTTATTTTGTTAAGAACACAAATAGTCTTATGCATAAAATTCTTTTATTCAGTGGTGGGTCACTTTTGTTGCTAGGTGACCATGACTGGTCTTTCATAGTGCATAAACTATCTATGTCTACCACTGTTCTGTTACTTGGCAACTGTTCAATGTATAAAATGAACACTATGTGGCATCATGGCAGTAGACTACATCACACTGGTCAACAGGAATCATAAATAAATAAGACATTTTACTACTTCATTACAGTTAGTAGGTTCTTTCAGTAAAGTTATTTTTGATGAATGCAACTGATAAGACACATAATAAATAAGCAATGTTATTATTTCATTACTGCTAAGGGCACTTCTATAACTTCTTGTTGGTCAACAGAGATATATATTCATAGGAAATATGCAATTTTATTATTTCAGTACAGTTTATTTTAAGGAAAATCAGGGCAAAGAATGGGAGTTTCCATTAGTTATGAATGTGCCTCTATATTGTTGTTCCAGGGATGTTGATACTGAGTAGAACAGAGGAAGCAACAACACAATCCACTTGAAAGCCATGAACTGGAGTTTGTCCCTATGTTAGATTTCTCCAATGTTTTAGCTCTGACATTAGAGATATATATTGTCCATGATTCTCTCTTATTGCTCTCATAAAGGTAACAGTAAACTTGATACTGTTCGATGCATTTCATGCACCACACTGCTCTGTCGTGTTGGTAGCAGCACTGCTTCCTATGATACTGATGCTGTTTAACTGCACTAGTACAATCTCATATGTTACAATTGTACCAGCCAACTGTGGATAGTAAATGAGAAAGGAAACTAATATTTATATTTGATATGTCAATATACTTATTATATTAATATTATTACACTATTTACTACATTAATATAAGTAGTCGTATTAATGCCTATTCCATGTTTGTCATTTACTAAGAAACTGAGTGGTCAAACAATCTTTCAGTTAGGTCCTCCACTGTGCTCCTCCTGAGATATGATGGAAATATATATATATATATGTGTGTGTGTGTGTGTGTGTGTGCGCATGTGTGTGTGTGTGTGTGTGTGTATATATATAAACTTCTGTTCTACTGGTGGTGCTGAAGAATAAACCCACCAATTCTTTCTATCAGCTCATATATCTTTTTCTTCTTTTTGTCTTCTATCTGAATTTGTTCCTTGAGGCTTAGATCTGAGGCAACCCCTTCATCTTCCCTTTACCCATCCTTTGTATTTGCAACAAGACTTTTTGCAATTGTATATGCTTATGACTGAATAAAGTAAACATCAATTACGGTTTAAAGATGTATTGTATGTCACTGGTGACAGCTTGACTGTAATGACTACTGACTAAAGATAACAATATGAACAAGAGGACAATGGTGACAATGCAAATGGAAATACTAATAATGGATGATTATAAAGGTATCTTCTCTTAAGCACATTAATGAAATACCTCTCAACTCTCACAGGACCCCTAGGGTTATCACTGCTGAAACAAAAGTGTGGATCATATCATCAGGTAGCTAAGTTCTATCCACACCATAACCTGCAGTGTGTATTCATCTTTCAATGAGTCTGTGTCTGGCTTCAAAATAATCTACACAATAGATCCAAGGTTCTCATAGCGGTGAGTGCAAAAATAGTGCTCTTTGGAATCTGCATGATAGAGTTACTGTCTTATTAAACTCTTTTATGTATAATTTCTTGCTTATTCCGTAATATACATCTACTCTTCCAGGGGTACACAGTAGTGTAGTTTGTGGAGGCACTATGCTACAAGCCGGAAGGTTGCGGGTTTGAGTCCCGATGATGTGGATTTTCTTTTCAAATTGACCTAATCCTTCCAGCTGCACTATGGCCCTGGGGTTGACTCAGCCTCTAACAGAAATGAGTACCAGGAATCTTCCTGGGGGTAAAGGGCAGCTGGCGCATAAGGTTGACCACCTCACTGCCATCTGTGAGCCGATAGTCTAGATAATGTGGGACCCTCAAAGTCTCAGAACCCTATTGGCCTCCATGGCCTGTTACAGGATAGCTTTACCTTTTGCGTGTGTGTGTTTTTTTTTCTGTTTCAGGGCTCATGTAATGTATAAGAAAAGATAACAAATGGTAGGTCAATGATGATCCAACTGATGATACATAAATACAATTGCTGTTTGCAGAATTTCAATCTGCATGGGTCATGAATATGATCTTCCCACAAGGTACATTTTTATGTACTATAAAACTTATATATGCAGTAGGCAAATATCCATCTGCCCATCCTACCCTGTTTCTCATAAATGGTGTGTCATAGGAATAATGGTAAATATAAAAAATGTTTCTCTGGAGAGGCAACAGTGGGAATATTACTGGTTTTCTCAATTTCAAAAAAAGTTAGCACAGGAATGCCTAAAAATGTTCCTGGTTCTCTAAAAATGGTGCATCATTGAGAAAATATGTAAATACAAGAAATGTTTCCCTTTTGGGCTATCTTTGAGGAAAAAATCAGTTCCAGTAAAGAAGCACAGGATCCAAGAGATCTAACAGGACACAAATTTACAAATGTGAAGGGCTCTATCTTCTGCGATATAATGCCGTGTAGTCCGTTGAAATTCAACCACCACTTCAGATGTAAATGTCATCTCAATTTACATGGTTCAAGAGTAAGTCAAGCAACAAACCACCAAAAAGCAAATCAGCAAGGAAGAGAAGATAGAACTCCTCATATTTTCCAACGTTCCTCACGTTGAGAGTACTTTTATATTTGTGCCATTCTACATGGGACATGTGAACAATTCTTAAAGAAGATGTGGTAAAGGCTCTCTCTCTCTCGTTTTCTCACTCTGAGGCACACATGTGTGCGCGCACACACATACATACACACACACACACAATTAAATTTATACTGTGTTATGAAATAAAGTATTTTCATTTTTATCTATTTTGAAATAATTCAGGTTTGCTGTACTATATGCAATTTTATGCATGAGAAATTCCAAAGACAATTAGGTAATTTTAGAATGGGATACAATTTTCTTTATGTGGCCTGCCCCCCAAAAATTGTGTTCTGATGGTCATAAATATGACAATCTCAGAACCTAGAGATGTTAAATGTAAGTAACCACCACAAATAACAAGAACTGTGTCTGAAGTTGCAGTGCAGATTTTACTACAGAGTAGTATTAGCTTAAATACAAATTCAGAATTTCAAAATGAATCATGGGCTGCAAGTTATATGATCTCTTCAATACTGTTACTGACCTACAGATATAGATTGAAGCTATGCATACAGCACCTATAGATAGGTATCACAAAAGTAAAACAACAACAGAACACTTTAGGTGTACAGTGTGGCTGAAGTAAATGAGTGGAAAAAATACCATTAACATCACTTTCATTTTATTTTCTTTACTTTAAACATTTATGTAAACCATGAACTTTAGCAGGATGTTCTCTTCAAAGAGTTTCAGATTTGTCTGGTGGTCTCTCTGAAAATCACCAATGTGTACCATAAAATATGTACATTACCCACATATAATCATGGCTCATTCAAATCAAACTTACAAAAACAAACAAATTAAATTAAGCTTCCATTACTATAAGGATATGAAGTGCCATTAACAGGACAGCTGTCCTGATTTGTTATATCTCAGAGACAGAATGAGGTGTCTTAAATAACATTATATAGTGAGTACCAGTTGTGTGGCTAAAATTCAAGTTATAGAGATGGAAAAGCTGCAGAAGTGTAAAGAGTTCTGTGTTCTGGGATATAATGAAATTATATCCCAGAAGATAAAACTCTTCATAACCACCACTGTGAGACCTTAGGTCTTCCACTGTAGAGGGATGACTGCTGTGAAAATGTGAAACGACTTCTGACGGTTCCCTTGAAAAATGCAGGCTTAGGCAGTTAGCAAAATCTACAACTCCTGACTACATCATTCTTACATGTTGACTATACTGCAGTACTTAGAGTTAAATGAAGAGCACTTACTGTCAACAAAAGCGTTCTTGTGATGTAGAAGAAGTTCATCCCTGACAGTGCCACAGTATCTGTCACTATCTGATTCAGAAACCTTGAAACCTGAAACCATTCCAATGATGCATTACTTGATTACATATTACATATTACAAGACTCACAATTCAGTTCTTTCAAAATATGAATAAATAAAATTTTATTAACATAAAGATTCTTACCTCTAAATGATAGCTTTCTGGAGGAACATCATATAGCACCCTCTTTGGCTTCAAACTTTCATCATAAATACTTGCTGCATACAATGACAATGTCACCGTTCGGAATAGCACAAAGCCAAATGACCAGCAGAAGTATACTGTGTTTATTATACCACCTAATGGGCTGCAACAGGAAAATAAGGGAAGCAATTTTAATTTTACTATACTGTATTCTTAATCGTATATGATGAAATAAACCTTCATTCCTGAATAACAGTTATTTACAGGGTTTGTTTAAGTAAATACAAAGTATATCTAGGTATGAATTTGAAAGTTACAAATTTCTTAGTCCACTCTTGCTGTTATCAGTGTGGCCTTATTTAGGTTACCAGCAGCTCATCATTTCTAAGACTCCATTCTTTATAAGAACACCGTATAATCGAATGCCAACAGAAACAAGAAAATATAATTACAGTATTCCAAGAATGAAACTTCAGTGACATTTTGGCAATGGTGTCAGATGTAGAATCATTTTAGCTTTAAGTCATGTCTCCTATCACATATAGTCAGTGTATGAAGTTATAAAAGGGAGAATTATCATTTAACCAGAAGACATACCACTTCATTTTATCTTCTCAAAGATCTTATACAAAACCAGCTCAAAGAATTAAAAATAAATGCTACAAAATTATCATAAGATTTTCCTATAGGAACATTATCTCTGTTGGCCAACAAGCAAATTATTTCTACTTTCATCCTGTAGTGTTTCATAGCAATTCAAGTAATTCTAGTCACCTGAATGGGCAGGTGTCACACAGTCATCAATATATGTCAGTGGGCAGACTATGAATAAAAACAGTACACTGGACACACAGAGATTGCAACCCATCCTGTCTCCTATGAGCATCAGGCTATGGCCTTAATTTTTGTAGTACCAATAAATGAACAGAGCACCATCTTTTCATTAGGTAAGCAAATAATGAAAGGTTAGTATGATTTTATTTCTTGGTAATATATCAGTTTCATTATTAATGCTGTTAAAACCATGCATCATAAGATAAGAAATGAACAAGTTTATTGAAAAAGAACAAATCATCAATTATGAAATGAAAAAGCTTGGGTTCATTCAAGTATGGTTAAAAATATAACGGGTTTCAGTTCGTTTTTGTCATCTGTTAGTTCATCAGTGATAAAAGATTCCTTCATTATTTGCTTAACATGAATATGGACTTACTGAACTTACTTTTGTCCACTGATCACAATATTTTGCCACTTGAACAGATGGTGTCTACAGTACCAATCATTTGTGTTGATTTCATTTTTAAACAGTTTGTCAAAATGTTCTTAAGAAGATCATTAAATGTACATTTAAGCACTCAATCATCTGTTTAATTCTCACTTCCACAATATAAGCAAGAAAAGTGAGTCTCATAAATTACATACCTGAGACTATTCAGGAGTTGGCGACAAATGAAGTACAGGTTACTTCCAAAGGACACTAGCACAATTTTGGAGATGCAAGAATCAAGAGTCCTGGTGAGATGTGAAAGACTGTTGTATTCTTCTCTTATCTGGGCCCAGAAGCTTCCTGGTAGCACCTGATAAATAAAGAACATGCAAGTAATTATTGCCCAAATCAATCAACATCATGTCAGATATGAATGAATCATGAATAGAGACCAGAAAAAAGTAAGTTAAATTTGATACTGCAGATCAATGCTTTCCTTCTCCTGGTATGCCATAAAGGCATTTCTGTCATGAAATGCTAAAACAACAAATTAAAAACAATGAGTAAATTTGTTAATAAACTTCAGAAAACAATGGCAGATAAACATTTTATTGCAATTTAAATTGTTGACTTTCATTAACTTTGAGTATAAGAGCGATATTTCTTCCTGTCATATTTGAGTACTGGCACCTGTATAGAAATAGAAATAGAGCACTGGTATGGGTTATTAGGACAGGAGTTTAACTATGTCCACCATCAAATAGAAGGGACCACAAATGTCTCATGAAACATCCAATATCTCCTCTCCCTCCCCACATCCCAGTCAGAAAAACCAGAACATATACTTTTTGTTTTTATGAATACTAAATGCTGATATACTAAGTTTCACATTGTAATTGGATGCACAGTCTTTTTCTTACACATAATGCTGTTTTGCCAAAGCTAGCCACAAACAAACAGTGAACAGCAGACATAAGAAATAACTTGAGTATGTTAACAGTGCACTTCTATTCACTTTTGAACATTATTCTTAAGTGTGTTTGGAGCAGTGAGACAATATAACATATTTATTTATGTAACTGCATCAACTGCAAAATTATGATTTATGAAATTTATGAAGAAACAGATTACATTTTGCGCCATATAATTGCCTCTCCTTTAATCTGACAAGATGCTTATCACTGTTTATGCTAAAATCTCACTCCCACTTTTACTCCACTTCCCAGTGGAATGATGACTGGGTCTGATTCCATGCTAGATCGGTTTTTGCCTAACTTTGTATTCAAAATGTTTATAGCTATCACAGGCAACATTTATTGAACTTTGGATTCTATACTCTCCAGTCTTCATTCTGCTCCTACTACCACTACCAGAGGACTGATGGATGGACTGGATTCCATGTTAAAAATAGACCTTGCTTAAAGCTGTACTCAAAACTTTTGTGACCCTTGTGTTTAAAGAGAATATCTTGCCAGTAATATGATGATGCTGGGTAGAAGCCACAACACAAAACAGGATGACGACATCAAGTTATAAATAGTAAAGTATGTGTCCCTGTACATCAGTTTGTAGGTAAATTACACTAAAAGAATTTCAGAATTCCACAATTATTAGACTTTATTTTTATATGACCACTTCATCCATTTGCTAATATAGAAATGTGCAAAAAGAGGAGCTATTACACAACTGACAGCACAGTAATGTCTTATAAACTATTAATATGTTAATTGCATACATAAATATATGAGGCAGGCATGGAGACAGAGACTTTGGGCAACTGTTCGTATTAGTATTTGTGTGTTATCTCACGATTTTACATTTTTCCTCATTTATTTTCTAGTATTACTACTGTCTAGCTCATGAAAGTAAAGTAATACAAAAAGTGACTGATTACCTTCCCACGAAAAGAAACAAGGTACTCATTGAAGAGGCGAAATCTCTCAGTGAGGGCAAGGCTCACTAGTATGATGAATAAATCTGTGAAGTTCCATGTGAAAGTGGCAATGAAGTTGTTGATTAGGGCCAAAGTGGCTGTTGCGAAACTGTAGTCCATGACAGCGAATATTTGGTTGTAGGTGCCAGTCTTTGTAAAGTAGTGGTGGAACATGTCAGTCACATTGTCTGTACATGCTGCAGCTACTGCAATTTGACTTGACTTACTAAGTGCATGTTCCACTGTGGGTCACAACAAATATGAAATTAGCTTCAAATTATCAGTTACAATCTTAAGCAAGTATATAAGACAAGAGGGCATTAATTTTGGAATTAAGTTACAATAAATTAGTCACTGTTCCCTAGTCGATCATATACATACCTGTTTTGTGTAGTCTGCCCTATATTTTATCAATTGTTATTGCAAATTATTTCTAAAACACATATGTTATACTTCGCAATTTCAAGTATAAAGAGTTCTGAAAATAGTATTGAAGCTGGCACTGAGAAGTTTACAAATAATGAATATGAAGCTATCCCTGTAACAGGCCATGGAGGCCCATACGGTTGTGAGACAAGGCTCTCACATTTTCTAGACAGCTTGCTCAAAGATGGCAGTGAGGTTGTCAGCCTTGCACACCAGTTGCCCTTTAACCCCAGGAAGGTTTCAGGTACTCATTTCTGTTAGAGGCTGAGTTGAGCCATAATGTGGCTGGATGGATTAGGTCAATTGAAAAATCCAATGATCTCAACGGGAATTAAACCTGTTACCTTCTGGCTTGTAACATAGTGCCTCAACCAATTATGCTACCATGTGCCCCAAAATAATAAATATATAGAACATAATTCATCTGACATTCTATTGAATAATTTCAGAACACCAATCACTGCTTACAATATTCCCTTCAAATTAATCAATAATGCAAGCCTTCTGTAGTTTGATATATATATATATAGGTAACTAATAACTGTTTAAGGATCTTTCAACCACATAATGATTGTTTCGATGACATTTTCTGGCATTATAAATATCTGTCCTATCCAGTTGTGTTTCTGACAAGCATTGTTGAGAAGAAAGTGAGAGAATAGAAATGTCATGAAGACACATGAGAACAGAGGTTAATCTCCACAAATTCTTAGCACTGGCATTAGATTGAGGTGAGTGGTTAGCTTCACGTTCCAGACATTATAGCCTTGGAGAAAGGCGCTAGTGTGCCACTGGAGAGAAGGTTGGGTGAACTCCAGAGCACACAAACCCCATCATCTATCAATCAATCACCATTAGGTAGAAAAGAATTAAGAAATAATTGCCAAAATATGAAATTGCTCTTTAAAGAGTTGAAATTAATTTTCTTGACATATTCAGGGTTCTCTTTTAAAACGAAATCAACATACTATTCCTATATGGTATATATGGTATTAATTTCCACATATGAATCCTCCTTGAGGAGGCAGAAAAAGGTAAAGCTATCCCCGTAACAGGCTGTGAAGCATCAAGGCTCACACATTTTCTCTAGACAATCGGCTCACAGATGATGGTAAGGTTGTCAGCCTTATGCGCCGGCTGCAATTTACCCCCCAGGGAGATTCCCGGTACTCATTTCTGTTAGAGGCTGAGTCAACCCCATAGTGCAGCTGGTAGGGTTAGGTCAACTGAAACAATCCACATCATCAGCACTCGAACCCACGACCTACCAGCTTGTAGCACAGTGCCTCAACCAACCATGCTACTGCATGATCCTCTGTGTGGAGGTGATTTCATATTTATGATACATACGAGGTTTCCTTTAATGGAGAAACAGGAATATCCCTGCTCTTGTAAATACAAGAAATTAATCATAATGCTCAGCATAAGTGGAAAATTTCTTGACCAGTTGAGTAACTATCAGCTTTTGAAGTATGACTGTGCTCCTTGGAGCTGTTCACTTAGCAAGTCAAACAAAATCTGTGATTATTCCTTTGTTTATACCCAGGGCTCCAGTCAACACAACTGTTGTTACAATCATTATCTTGAGTCGCAATCTTCTGGGGTAACCATAATGTTTCTGAGAGATTTCCAAATTCTCCCATTCTACTGCCAGGTTAGGCCACTGTCTGGCAAGCTGGAGAAAGAGCATGTACGTTACTGTCACTGTCCCAAAGAAAACAACACCATCTGTGAAAAAGAAACTCACATAAATTAGTAAACTGTTTATATGAAATTCAAATTTCCTTTCAAAAATAAAATTGTTTACCTCTTGTTATCTTGCAAATTAAGATTTAAATTCAAGAGTGGTAGAAGATGTTGCTGTCAGTTGGGTGTGTACGGAACACAGCCATCAGTACCACTGCTTATAGAATTACCTCCATCATCGGCATCCTGTCAAGTGATGCCCTCCATCCATGGATGCATCTCTTACATATGGCTTATAATATACAATTATTTTATGTATCCTGATATTACATACTCATATTAACTATGAGCTATTCCTTATTCAGGGTAGAATGAGCTGCCAGGTACATAAGCAAATTGCATACATTTCAGTCCCAAATATCTGCTATAGTGAGATGCTGACAAAGCTTCGAGAAAACATTTAGATTCAGCCCATAATGGAGTGGCTCGTATTTGTTTTCCATTAAAAAAATACCATATACAAAGTCTGTCCTTCAGAATAATTGCCAGTATTTAAAATAAGATTGGAAGTGAATTAACTGAGAAATATCACTCACTTTTAAATACGTGTAATAGCACTGGGTGAAGATGTTATTAGTTTGAAGCCATTCAAAGATGTCTTTTTTTTATATATTAAAATTCTTACAAATTTCCAGGACATTACTAATTTATTAATATTCATGTAGCCTAAAAACATATTTAGTGAGTTTAGCCCTTGATTTCTAAATTAAACCAACCAACTCACCAGACTGCTTGAAACTTATGCCTGACTGCATAATCACAACAGCAAAACATGTGTTCAGACCTGCTCCAAGCAACATGAAGATGCTGAACATGGTGCGGAAACTACACCACCGGAACCTAGGTAAAAGTGATTATGAAATATAATAGTAAGAAATGTATCAATATGTGGAATCTGAGGTTTACACAGCATTGTTCCAGTCTAACTGGGGCGCAAAGCTGTCCCAATTAGAAAATATTTCTGATGTTTTGATGAGCCCACTGTTTTTTTTTTCAGATGTAAAGCATCACAGAGATGTGAATATGCAGTAAATGGAAGAAGGTGGTGCTATTTTTATGAAATATTTTATGCTGAAAAAGTAGATAAAAAAGATACTGTTTAATGTATAATTAATGCAAGATTACACGTTTTATTTCATGCGGCTAATGTTATGGGAGTCAACTCTCACCCTCTCAGTGGGATTAAATGTGCCAGTGCCTCTTGGTGCATGAGCACCGAAGAATGAGGAAGAAGTGGGAGGGTGAAAGAATTACATAATAAAGAGCTTCATGATTTGAACTCTTCATCTCACACTGCTTACTTAGGGTACAGGCTGGATTTAAGGGTACAATGGTGGGCTTTTGTAAACGTGGTAACAATACTTTAAGTTGCACAATTTTCATGAGAGTGGGGATTTTTTTACCAGCTGAATAAGTACCAACTTTTCAAGAAAGACTCTGAATCATGGAAATATGTAATTAGTTATGAGTTAGTCTAGAATAATACCACTTGTAACAGCAGATCTGCAAATTATTTGACCTTTCCCTTCTGAAAAGCTTGCTACCATAATATTGTACTTTAAATAGTAGATTAACAAAATGGAGTGAGTGGTCAGGCTGACAGACTGAATTGTGTGTAACTGAGCTATACTTTATTTCATTAGTTTATATGTTAAAATTTACATCTATAACAATGTGAAGTTTAGACAAAAACATATTTTTTTGGTGTAATCTACATAAATATGAAAGACCTGGAGTGGTTTCATGACTATAAAAAGGAGTAAAATTATTCTGGTTCTTCTGGAAAGAAGTCTGCATGCATCCTGCTTTATCACAGTCCACTGCAAATATTGACACTTGGCCTATACTATAGTACATATTATACGAGGTCTGACAATAAAGTGGTAGCAGTGGACAGAAACCTCAGTATGGTTTGATGACATTGGCATATCAGCATTTCACAGCTGTGTTGTTGTTGATCTAGGGCAGCCTCTTTCAGAGTGGTGCCTTATAGTCTGAGTGTGTTTTGATATGCCCTCATGAGAATGTTGAAGCTTGAATTAGAGCAATGAATGAATATTAAATTTCTTGTTAAACTTGGCAAGAGTGGAAGCAAAATAATAGAGATGTTAGTGCAAGTTTACAGGGATAAGGCTATGAAGAAAAGAGCAGTTTACAAGTGGGTGACATGTTTTTCTGAGGAAAGAGTAAATATCACTGATGAAGAGAGATCAGGATGGCCAGTAATGAGCAGAACTGAAGAAAGCATTGCAAAATTTGCCAAATAGTGCATGAAAATCGTTGGCTGACTGCCACGAGCATAGCAAAGCAAGTGAACATCGACAGAGAAACAGAAAGATCTTAATGGAAGATCTTGACATGAGGAAGGTGTGTGCAAAAATGGTTCCAAAGGACCTGCTCATATGGCACTGTCTGTGAGGGAGTTTTTAGCTAATACACAAATAACTGTGCTTGAACACCCTCCCTATTCACCAGATCTAGCCAACAGTGACTTCTTTCCTGTCCTAAAAATAAAGTAAATATTGAAAGGAAGGCATTTTGATGATATTGATGATATCAGGAGTAATATGACAGCAGTTCTGAAGGCCATTCCATAGAACCAGTTCCAAAATTGTTTTGAAGGGTGGACTAGGCGCTGGAATCGGTGCATAACTTCCCAATGGGGGTACTTTGAAGGCGACTACATTGATATTCAGCAATGATGTATGTAGCACTTTTACCGCGATAAGTTTGCAAACTTTATTGTCATGAGAGATACTGAGTGACTTCTGGGCAAGTCAATTAATTTCCTGAACATCCAAGTAAAGGCTTTGTCACTATACAGTTTTGATACTTTTGAAAGTTGCAGCCCTCAACAGCAATGCCAAAAGTAGTCACCAATATTATGGCTTGTGACTGACTATCTATTATGTACCATATAAAACATTTTTCTCTGCCCTTAGTACTTCTACAGTGGTGATAGAGGCACCTTAAAAAACACGTGAAAAGTTTATATATGTTCAGAGATAAGGCAAACACAGAACTATAAGCACTAATTCAACTCCTTTCATATGTGAATTTAAGTCATAAGCCATTGGCACACATTGTGATAAAAGTTTAATTTTCTAATTAATTCAGTCATCCAGGCATAAGGTGTAAGTTCCTACCTGAGGCTCGCTGCATTTGGGGCAGTAATTCCAAGTACAGGTAAGAGGCCAAAGCACTGAGCAGTCACTATTTCAGAACTAACTGCATGGTGGAATGAGTTCACATTTTCTTTGTTGAATGTAACAGCATTCATTATGACCTCATGACATTCCTAGAAGAACCCTGATGTCATTCTTACAATTCCATTTCTCATATAAAATGTTATGTATACTCTTAGATGTTCAATATTTTTGGCTTTCTGAAAAAGAATTACATATACTAGAACTGTGGATGTATTATATTTAATAAAATATAATAGTTGGTATACTTACAGCATATTCAAGGAATTCAAAGTCAGACTCACAATGTCACTTCCTGTAATCAACCCTCTATAATAATCTGCTGTGACAAGTGCATATAGTCAATTATGTACAAGAATCAACCTTCATAATACACACCACAGACATGAATTAAATTAAAATTAAAATCACGACTGAATTCAAGTCAGTCATAAATATGTGTCAAGAGATCTGTTGTTTCATGTGTGGTTTCTGCAATATTTTATCCACTGATACTAAAACACTTGTAATAGTCTCATAATATCAGATCCAACATGTAACACGTTATTTTAAGTAAGAATTTATGCAATAATTTCTGGAACACAACTCTCTGCTCTCTCATGACCTGAGCTAATTAAATCAGACCAGCAGGGGATGAAGGTTCTAAACTACCTCATTCTTGAAAGGTTAATGAAGGCAATAAAATGTTAAAATCCCTACTCAGTTAACACGACCTTTCCAAAATAAAAATTTATGCTTACAGTGCAAGACCATGACCATGGGAAGCACAAATTAACAAGATACAAAATCATCCACATCTGATTTCATGAAATATATTATGGTTGTTTACAAGCTGCTGCTTCCAATATAATGCTTAAGCAGAACATCAGAAATTTGCAACCAAATATACTTTCACTAATACTGCAAATAACAGTAACAAATTATTCACATGACCTGTACTAAACCAGCCATAATGATAGATCAGATATTACACTGATAAATGAAAACACAAAAATATCATAAATTATTCATCTCAGACACTGCTACAGTTGAAAATTTCCACAACAAACAAATAGATAACTAACTGCATTATCCATCATTCTGTTCTTGAATAACATAATAATTCATTCATTATTTGCTGAAGAAACTTTACATGCATAGAAACAACAAAAAGTAGAAATATCCAAAAATATATCAAAAGCCACAAAGAATAGCTTGGTTACTCTATTGACAATCTGTCAGCATGCAAGGGGCTCAAAAGTCTGTGTGCTTGTATTATACGTTGTTGAGACTTGCTTGCTGTAAGTGTGGCAGTATGTATGACTCCTGTGTTTGTTATGAACTTTAATATGTTATAAAAAACTGTATTGACAATATGGCTGACCAGTGTGTGTGGAATGGCAAGGTGTGAATTTGACAGTGGTTTTTCCATGGCCTATGCGTGTTGTCTTGACAACCTGTGCTGTCTGCATGGGGCCTGATTATATATTTTATCAGACCAAGGACGTACGATGTGTAGTCATCATGAATTTGTAATGTGTGACATGTTTTATATCCAACCCTACGGGGAGATGATTAGATCCATGAAGTGAAAATAAATGTAAATGTAAATATTACAATAAAAATAAAACTGATAAAGGTAAAATGTAAAGTAGTCCCATGCTTAATCAATTAAGCACCATGCCATGAAGACATGTGGGAGTGGAGATGTAGTTCCATCATCCTTGACCTCAGGCCTACATGCAGCTGAGTGGTCAGCTTCATGCCCTGGCTGCTTTACCCTCAGTACACATTAGACAGGAGGCTAGGTGGACCCCAGAGCCGGTCTGGAAGCTGTGGGTAAAAGAAAACTCTTTTGTCTCTGCCCTGGCTGTCCAGCCAGAGCTCATTGCCATACTGACTGAGCTATCCCAGCTGCAAAATTAAGCTTGTAACAAACAAAATTAAACATTATCCACCACACCTTTAAATAAAATGTATATGTTTGAATCCCAATGCATTGGTCATGCCCATTAAATAGTCTAAGATGCTGTAGCATCATTTCTACAGGTAAATAAATGTTGATGAATTATATATTGTGAATTATGGTTAAACACAAAACTTAAAAATGTTCAAACCATTTTAAACGTTTAAAATTGCCATTTTACCTGAAAATCTCAACAATTTTTTCTCTTTATCTGATTATTCACTCATGAAACGCAAATTTCATAGAGAGAAAATGGAATGACTATATTGTGTACTGATATAATCTGAATTCTAAAAAACTTACAGAGAAAAATTGCAATAATAATGGAACACTGAGGTGTTTTCAATACTGTTGGGATGTTCAAGTTTAGTTAGCTGACTGTTATTCTAAAATATTAATTTCATTACAATCATGTATCAGAACTTGTGAATGAGTTGCAATATTCTCTTTCAGAGGTCTTTATTATGAATATCTGAGTTATGATCTGAGAATCATGGCTACTTGTTTATTAACTACCACCTTTATTTCTGTCTGTGTGGATGTATGTAGGGTGGAACATGATGTTTATCTTATTAAATATTCACAAATAATGAATTAATTAAATCAAATAAAGAACATGTTTCAGATCAGATTTGTCATATAAAAAGTGTTCTATACACTACATTTTTTAAGTAAAACACATGGTTTAAGAGAAAAAAGAACACTTTTATTGTTAACATAACTGTGAGCCCTACCACTTTCACTTATATAACTGCTGAGTTATTTTTATGATGGTGATGATAATGTAAAAAGCTTATGTGTAATAATTTAGAAAGCTGTCTATGCTAATTTTATCTTATAGTTTACTGGCTCATGTTATACTATTTGTAAGGCCTGTGGTTTGATCCTCTATGACCATTATCCTGAATTTGTGAATATTCTGTTTCTTCAGATAAATTGAGATAGTACTTTAAAATATGCCTTAATCACTAAATAAATCATTCTAAACCATTCTTAAATGAAGAGGCTCCATAAGTATATTAGCAAAACAACAACAACAAACGACCACCACCACCACCACCAACAAGAAAAAACAAGAGAAGTTGGTACAATAGACAGCTGAACAGGTAGCACAGGCCCTACCAGTAAGTAAATATTTTCTGAAAGACCTGGAACTGGTATTGATCCCTGGGACCTTCCTAGCATACAATCACATGCAAGTAAAACTAACGTGATAAGAATCAAACAACAGACAACATGAGCAAACAGCTACTACACGGAATGTATAATGGTACCACTAAACATCACACACAATTCCTGTTGATCTCCCAGCCCATGTCCCACATTCATATGATTATANTTGTAAGATTTGAGGCTTTCACGGCGGTGACTATGAAGAAAGCAGTCTTCTGGGATTTGGCACCGTGTATATGTGGTGTTAACCGACGTTTCGGAGGAACGTATCGCCTCCATCTTCAGGGTAGAAGAAAAAGTATAAGAAATCTGCAAGCGACAAGACCGTGAGAACGGTAAAAGCAGACTGTTCTCACCGTTCTCACGGTCTTGTCGCTTGCAGATTTCTTATACTTTTTCTTCTACCCTGAAGATGGAGGCGATACGTTCCTCCGAAACGTCGGTTAACACCACATATACACGGTGCCAAATCCCAGAAGACTGCTTTCTTCATAGTCACCGCCGTGAAAGCCTCAAATCTTACAAGTCAAGACTAATTCCTCCCACATCCCTTTCTACTCATCATCCTACCATTTGACACTGTTCAGTCTGAGAAACTGACAGCATCATTAAATACATAAATATGAAAACAAATAATAGGGCTAATTATAAAAAGTAATGTTTGCTGTAATTGAAAAACATAGTTATGTATATTGTTGATCTGTATGACTCTCTGTGGCTAGATTCTTCTAATTAATAATAATTTAACAATAGTTCTGATTTTATATTGTATGACCTATGCAGTTGATATAATAATATCAACTTAATAAAAATAAGTTTGCAAGTAAATAAATAAACAAAAGCTTTAATTGTCTCAGAACATTATTTTTCCAAGAAAGAAAAACGTTCTAAAATATTTTGGTAAAAAAGCGGTCCCTGTGCTCAATGGATTAAGCACTACGCCATGAAGGAGTATGGGAGAGTGGATGTATAGATCCACATTTTCTTGACCTCAGCGCTAGATAGAGGTGAGTGGTCAGCTACAGGCCCCTGCCGCTTTACCCCCCGGGGAAAGATCCCCCGGTACCCTTTGGATAGGAGGTTGGGTGGACCCCAGGGCCGGTCTGGACGATTTGGAGAAGAGAAAATTCTTGACGCTACCAGGACTCGAACTCCTACCCCTCAGTCGTCCAGCCCGTAGCCAGTCGCCATACAGACTATTCTATCCGGGCTTTATTTACTACCGTTACATATTCTACAGTTAAACAATACTTCTCATTTGAATGTTAGAAATATCCACAAAAAAAATATTTTACTGTAAACGCAATTTATATTTACCTGAAAATTTGAAATGTAGATTTTACTTCTTAAAAAGAATTCACGTACATCCGATTTAATTGACTTGTTGGCTAGTCTTGACTTCTTTACTTCTAGTAAAAGTATAAATGGCAGCTAGTTGCTATATAAAAGTCCTTGTTGATTTAGTGAGCTTCATTAAAACAAAATTTAAAAAGCGGAAACAACTAAGAGCTATTTCTAAAAGTTGCAGCTGCGGATCACGAGTCCGCCGTAATGAGGACAAGGCATATTGAAATGAATATTTCCTTTAGATATGTATGCGCATGCCCTGGAAGAATAGTGAAAACAGCGTGAATAAAATACCAAAACACGAGCATATACTCTATGCTCCGCCCATGACCCCACGCAGCGAAATAAAAATCTTGCCTTCGTATAGCACGAAACAAATTACCCAATATATCTACGTAATTGCGCTGGAATATTTTTCATAACTGAGCTGGACTGAATATGTGCAATAACAGTTTGTTTTTTGTGCCCCTGCATTGTCCCTATCGAGGGTTCATATGTCTGTAAATTACTGAGTGATTCTGTTTTATTTTTTAGTCTCTTTCTAAGGAAATACAGGTTTTGAATGCCACTACTCTCGTATGGGTACGAACAAGCCACTAGAAGTTACTACGTATCTTCCTGTTTCTTTCTGAAACATTGTTTAGTAAGAGTTCTTAGATCCTTTAAAAATATAAATATTTTTTTGTAAAACAACGTCGTTGCGGTCGAAATGGAATATTTAACGCTTTGTTAGAGAGTAATCATTGACAAATTATCAGCTGGACATGTGAACTTCCGTATGAAGACAGATCGGAAGCATACCTACAAATGATGTATGAATGTTTGTATATGTTAAAATTGTATACAGAACGATGGTGTGAAATACAGAGGTTTACGTTGGTTAAATTTCGAAGAGTGAGACCTACTGGCGGAAACTACACACAGAACTAAGCGATATTAATTTATAAGGCTCATTAGCCGCTTTGTAAATATTTATATTTATTTCGTCTGATAACAACAGACAGGTCAAAGTAAATTCCTGACTATAATCAGGGTGAAACACATCGAATTTGCCTAGAAGTACCAAGTTCATGATTTGATGACATATCATGTCAAAGTTTGATAGACGGCGGTTTTAAGAATATCTACAATCGTTCTCGAGCGACAGAAGAGGAGAAATCTTTCCTCAGTCTATTCTGAGCAGTCTCAGCGGAAATGAAAATGAATCTTCAGAACTAGACAGAGGCTTCAGATCAATAGAAAAGCCCTGGAAATGACCAACAATTTTATAAAGGAAATTACTATAAAGCAAGTTCGGGAATTCGTTCTTACGCGTATCGTTGAAAATGACAGCTATGGCGTCTCAATGCGCTGTAAATAGCTTCGTGCGAAAAGGCGCTCTGGAACTAGGCAGATGGCGTCTGACTCTATTTCCAGCCCTGACGGTCAATAAGTATTCAATTTTCAATATCTTAAGCTCAATTAGATGCTAGTATCGTAGATGGTCTACAAGTAAACTCCAAGAGCGGATTTACAGTTGTAGGAGCCATAGGACAATCAAAATATGAAGGTCCATATTTTTTTATTGCTAGTGGGGTAGGACTAAGTCCCTTTTACTGCGGCCACTTCTGGCCTATTGTACAAGCCCCAGATGATAGGTGAGGATGATTGTGGAGCAACTGGGGGAGTGAAGATTGGCAGCGGAAACCGAAGTACTCGGAGAAAACCTGCCCCAGCGCCACTTTGTCCACCACAAATCCCACTTGACCAGACCCGGGATCGAAGCCGGGCCGCCGCGGTGGGAAGCCAGCGACTAACCGCTTGAGCTATGGCGCGGCCAAGGTCCCTATTAGTAACAACAAATTTATAATACTGTGACATGTAGACCCATTGCTAGGGAGCGAGTGGGCAAACACGTTTCCGTAGAGATAGATTCTTCGAAACCAACTCGTTATGGAACACGTTTCCTGGGATATGGAAATGAAAGATATTTCCACGTATATACATTACTGGAAACCAACACATCGCTGTGGGATCAACCGGCATTTCCGTGGATACTCATATGCTATATAAGAAGCCGTTCAGATCAGAATGAAGTCGCAGCGGTCAGGCATACGACCGTTCAAGTGACTAGACTGCCGTTGTATCGAATACTACTAGAAATAGGGCATAGTCTGTTGTACTGAGCCTGAACTGACAGAAGCCTTGTGTATATTGTACATAAGAGTAGATACTAAGAGTCAATTTGTAAATAAGTGTACATACTGACAATGGACTTAATACTGCAGACTATGACTGGCAAATGACAGACCCGACCTCTCGTCAGAGAGGGTGCACCACAAGGACAGGACAGTACCTTTCATACAAGACGAAACATCTGGTCATGAGCCCAAGCCGGGGCTCGACACCTAGACAGACAGACTGACTGACCGTCAGTCGCAATGTGACTTTGACTTTAGAATGAAGTCAGTCGTAGTTCAGCACAGAGTAGAGAGAGACCAGAAGGAAGCCATAGTCCAGTGCAATGGAGCAAGTCCCCTGCAAGTCATTTATTGTGAGTTACTGTAATTGATTGTGATTAAGATAGATTGTAAAAAGTGTTAATAAATCCAATCATCCAATCCAAACCCCGTTATTATTAGTCACGAGACGAAAATGAGGGTTCTAGTTCGGATTGGATTTATTAGTACCTTTCAGTTATCCAGTTATTCAGTATAGAGGGCGTGGGTTTCCCCACGCACCGCGACTAATGGTCTATTGTACGTCCCCCTTTAATTTCTGTCGCCATACCCTACCGATACTGGTGCCCGCTATCTCCCCTTTCTGCCAGCGAGGTCGGCCCTCTACTGGCAGTGGTACCCGATAACTCTCCCCTTTCTGCCAGCGAGGTCGGCCCTCTACTGGCATTGGTACCCAATAACTTCCCCATCTACCGGAGGAATTGGAAACTACTTGGGCGGGAAACATTTTGCCTAATTTTGCTCAGAGGTCTCCTAGAGACATGAGGATCTTTTACGTGCTGTAAATCTACGACATGGGACCTACAGCTTGAAGTCCCTCCCGGAGGACTTGTTCCCTGAATGTTTCCACCCTTAAAAATTCAACGACCTCCGTCGGGTTTGAACCCTCGTACCTTGAGTCATGAGGTGGGAACGTTACCCCTAGACTACGGAGGCCGCTCATTAGTACCTTGGTTACCTCTCTTAATCACACTTAAATACAGCTCTATCGCTGATTTACACACTTTCCAGTTCACCGTTGGACATACACTAGGATTTTCTGTTTCCACTAGTCGTCTCTTAGCAATGGATCTCAACACAGAAACTATCACTTCAAATTACTATGAAGTGTTCTTGTTATTTCGTCTTCAATCACTCTGTACTCCACTGTCCTAATCAGTACTCAATTAATCTTCACAATTCACTGATGACACGCTCCATTCTCGTCCTTGCACTTTTCAACTGTTGAACCCTCTTTGCGACGACTCAACTCAAAGTCAAAGTTACTTTACGACTGGCAGTTTACCGCCAATCAGTTCGTCTTGACATCAGACCACTTGAGGCCACGACCACAGATTTTTTCCAACTGAACTTTTGCGATAATAGTCCTTATATAACATCCTCTCTGACGAGGAAATGGGTTTGTCTCTTATGAATACACTTGGCTTTTCGTCAAGTGTATATTTCGCACATATAACATGTTATTGAAAATTCTTCCTTTTGCACTACACCCAAGTCCTCTGTCAGTAAAGGCTTTACAGAGCACATCACGCCTAACTTACATATCCTATGCTACAACGACAACTTAGTCATTTGAACGGCCATAAGCTTGACCATCGCCAAGTTATATTTTCTGTGTCTGGTGTCACCTCGTCCTATACCGCGAACATGTTCATTCTCATGGTTTTGTATAATTTCTGCTTGTCGTCTGCACAATTTTGTTATATAATCATATACACACAGAAAGTTGAAAGCTATGTGTAAGTCGCAGACCAGTGTGCACCTTGGAAAATTTCCAATGGTGCACAAAACCTTGTTTTGCATGCGCTGCAATTTTAGGAAGTAGGTGTCTGCCGCTAATTCCCAGGAGGGACAAGCGTAAGTCATTACTGATCTGATCAGTGCCTCACAGAGGGTTAGTTTAATGTTTGCGTTTAAACGCACATTTCTGAATAGGGAGTAGATTCTAATAAATGTTCTAAAGGCCTTGGCTTCAATTATTTCTATGCAAAGTCTCCACGTAATCATTTTATTGACGACTCAACTGAACTCTGTCACTCGCTTATATAGCCGAGGGATCAACATCGACCAACAGTAAACACATATCACGTGACCCCTACTCACTGTTGGTGTGATGTCACTGCTCTATGCCAACTGCCGGACACACGGAAAACAGAGCTTGCTCTACTCTTAAAGGCACAAATTGTGTTTACAGATCTGTTGCCTGACAACACGTTAATCAAATACGCCACAACATTATAGTACAGCATCCTGTTGCACTGTGTATTCTAAATTAGCACTTTCACTTTTCTCATCCATGTGCAACTACGGTGATGTATTAAAATTCACACTTAAAAAGCATTCATCTCTTCTCATTATTTGCACACCATATGTTCTGGCCCAATTGGCCATTATCAGGTGTACAAGTTGTAAAGGAAACTGCTGTCCTGTTGTCACACTACTACATCTCACATTTTAAATATGCAGAATATTTATAAAATATTTTAAAATTATTTTTAAAATATTATGCCATAATTATTTATTTAGCATAGGAGGTTAAGGCACTATGCTACAAGCCGGAAGCCGCACTATGACCCTGGGGTTGACTCAGCCTCTAACAGAAACGAGTACCAGGAATTAATTAAATAATTTTCCTGGGGAGTATAGCACGGCCGGTGCGTAAGGCTGAAAACCTTACCGCCATCTTTGAGCCGATTGTCTAGATAATGTGGGACCCTCAAAGTCTCACAACCCTATGGGCGCCTTCATGGCCTGTTACAGGGATAGCTTTACTTACTTTTTACTTACACATAAAACCAAAGAAAAACCAACATACTCGTACCAACAAAATATACACCAGACCCATAACACATGCATACAACAAAATAATTACAGAGGTTTCAATCTTTAAAATTACCTATCACTCAGCAGCAACAATACTTTCCATACATCCATGTTTCATGACTCGTGCACCCTTGTAATTTCTAGCATGTATTCAAACTCACT